GATCAGAAATTTCCTCGCGGTGAATTTTTTATGGTGTCCCGCGCACACTGAGAGTGGTGGTATTGTTTTGCCGAACGACCAAAAAATGCGCAGGGCCAAAGCAATTCCTCCAGGGGCCAACCCGACCGAAATTTTTCCTGCTTCCCCATTTCAAATGGAGTGTTTTATTTTTGGAAAGGGTGGATTTTTACGGCAAAATTGAGGGTATCCGCTGTGTGTTAAATTCTCTGAATCTCTGGAATAAAAAAAGATGAGAAAAAAAAGTTTATTCATAAAATAACTTATTTTAATTCAAAAGCTCAATTACATTTGCTTTTCCACGTCACAAATGACATGAATTAAAACAAGGAATAATATTATTTTTCAATTAATTAGTTACTTTTCTTGCACTTATTTTTCATCTTCGAAGGTTGGACAAAAAATCTGGTTAAGTTTAAATATCTATTTTGCCAATTTAAAATTTTCATCATAGTTGGAAATATATAGATGCGGATTAATAAAACCTTTTCCTTCCATTTTGAGTCAAAATTGCCTTTTTTTATTTATTCTAGAATAGAAATAGCACTCATTAATTCACCTCTTCTTGTGTGTTTCAGATCTGAGCCGACTTTTATCTAGAGTGCTGTGATGCTGGAAAAAAATGCTAAATATCATACCTAAATTTAGCCCGAGATGCGATTTCCAATTTACCAGCTCAGCGGATTTTTTCGGAATTAAATTTTGTTCCGCAGGCACCGTAAGTAATTAATCGCGGCATGCGGGATGCAGCGAGGCAATTTCGGGAGGAAAAACGCGAGAGGAAGAAATTATTTCTCTCTCTGCTGGCGCAAAACGCGGAGACTCGGCGACTGATGAATAATTTAGCAGGTGCTCTCTCACGGAATTGAATTAAAAATCCATGGGACGGCAGCTCGCTTCTTCCCCAGTATAATTAATTCTGCTGACAAGTCATGCCATCTCTCTCACATCTTCATTTCATAATCTCCCACTTTAATCTGCACACAACCCACCGTTGCCAGAGAGTGGAGACAAAAGAGTTTTTCTTCATTATTTATAAGCAACACTGCGAGAGAAATTCGCCAACTCGTACCAAACAGATCCGCATTTGGGCTGTTTGAGATCTAAAAAAAAAACTTCTCAAGCCCAATTTGCTCAATCCGATTTTTATTTGCAAAGCTGTTGAGGCACTTGATGCTAACAAGCGCCAAAGATCTCTTTCCGAAACGCAATTTCTATTCTCAACAAAATATAAAAATGGAGATCTAAGAATGGATCGTCGCCAATCTTCAGTAGATTTTCAATTAATATAAGAAGAATAATTTTTTACTGAATCCTTCGAGTAAAGATGGCTAATTGTAAGTTCTATTTTTCAATTTCCACTAAATAATTTTGCATCTTATCCCTCAGTTTCCTGGTTTAGATATTTAGATATTCCTCGTCATTGCTCATTACGTAGAGTTATTTCCAAATTGTCTTCACTTGCAGTTCTATAAAAGAATTATTTTAAAATATCGTAAAGCACTTACATTTACATTCCAGTTTTGATCATGGCTGGAAAAAAATTGCTTTACAAAGAAAAATTTTCATTAATTTATATTTTGGTTTTCACCTCCTGCAATTGATTTTTTTTCCAATTTATATTTCCATAGAGCGATGAAGGTTGGTGAAGTTCCTTTGTTACAAATAATATTTCCCTTTAAATTTGAATTAAAAGCTTTTGAAAGGAATATAATTATATATTAGTTTGGTTTTGTAAAGGGAATCAATAGTGTTTTCTGACCAGGAACACAGAAAAATTTTTCCTGGAGAGTTTGGATGCAAATAAATGGGATGGTCTGGTGGAGAGCACTCTTCTTACTTCTTTTCGCACACGCAGCGAAAACACATTCCGGCAGAACTACTTATGATATATTAGAAAAAGATCCACTCTTGTTTGTGCGCGAATTTTTTATCTCTCTCCGCAGCCACATGCGAATGCGTGTTCCGTATAATCTTGAGAGGGCGAAGTGGAAGAAGCACACACAAACATTTACCCGGAGCGAGTTGATGTTTTTCTCAATTTAATTCAAACATAGAGAAAATGCGCCGGCGGAGAGAGAGAAAGGAAGAGTGGCTGCCGCTGCTGCTGGGACGATATTTTTAGGCGCGCTCACACACTCGGCTGCACACATGCTACTTTTTCAAATAAAAAATGTTGAATACATGTCAGCCAACGCTGTTATACACATTTTATCCAGGGCACTCTTTTGCCTCAAAGAAGAGGAAGCGTGCTGCGGAAAAATGCGTCCAACAAACCAAAAAATTTGGAGTTTTCCGAGTTTATTTCGTTTTCAGAAGGGGAGCCAAATCGATGACGTATAAATATATATAACCCTTCTGCTCGCGGTGTGAAAGAGCAGCCAAAGTGCATCTGCTCCGGCTTAATTTTTTTTCCGGACTAGAGGCGTCTCTGTTTTTATAGGCGAGAAAATCACTTTATTAAAAGTCGCTTTCTGGTTTGTTATTCTTTAGACGAGACAGATTCGTTGCTTTTTTTGTCGAGCCTCCAAACTCAAGGAGGGAGAAAGATCTTGTAAAAGCAAAGATGGTCAGAAAAAAGTGAATCCTAGCTTGTGATTTAAAATTCATAAGTTTTCATTATTTCAAAAAATCTTACTATGTTCATAATTAAATTTACAATGAAAACTACTTCCTTTAAAATTCCTTAATTTTTACACAAATTTCAGTTCTGAAAATCCTTTTTTCCAATTACTGGCGTTGTTTCTCCATCGTAAATTAGTTCTAAGACCACTTAGGAATTAGTGAGGAAATCCTGGAACGGCAGGTCAATAAAAAGTAAAAGGACTTCTACGAAGCAGCCATAAAATCCTTGGTAAAATTTACCAAAAAAACAACAGCAGCAGGGTCTGTTTCTTTTCGTATTTTTTTCCAAAGCTTTTACCCTAATGAAGGGCCGCCGTATTTTTTTCCTTGCTGAATTATTAACGGGGCAAACGCATGGAAATAAAATAATTGCAGCTTCTACGAAGCGGGGCGAGGGTGCAGTTCAATAAAAATGCATTTTGATGTGTCCCTGTGGCTGGCCGGCCGTGTATTTTAGGCAGCGCGCGGCACGCAAGCGTCGTGCAGGTTGCCTAGTAACGCGCGCTAGCTGCAATTAGCCGGCCAGCCGACACTGACTGTGCATTTTTCATGAACCGCTTCCAGTTAAATCAATTACACTCGCCCTCACACGCAGCACAAAATTTTTGTTGAAATGCCACTCGGTCGCCGCCCGGGCAGCTGCGAGACATGCATGAATTTTTCATTTGCATTTTGGTGCCCTGCTGAATTTTTAATCGCGTTCACCGATCGTTTTCCATTAGGCCGCGTGAGCTTTGCAGCCGCGGGCAATTGATCAAAATGCCTGTTGAGATTTCGTCGTCCGCTCTCGCCAATTTGCGCGCATGATCGTCGGCCTGTGATTGCCACCGGATCGTTTTCAAGCTAAACCAAAAAGCTTTTGCAACTCAAATGATATATATTTAGTGTCAGCAATCGATTTATCTATTGAATTTTTCATCCTTACTTCATTTTTATATTACAGCCAAACTTCAATGGGTATTTTTCTATTCTGTTTTTTCTTTAATTTCAAAATACTTTAATTAAAATTGCAAAGTACTGTTTGCTTCATTTGGGTGGAAATTTTATGATTATTGTAATTTAAAAATATAAAAGATGGAATATTATAAATACATATAATTATTACATAGTTTTCCTACCCCTTTTTTCTGTATTTTATGTCATTATTTCTCAAGTTTTTTTTTTATTCAGATGAAAATCTTCTTTTTTTTAATAATCAATGGTTTGATTTACACGTTGAGCATCACGTTTCGTCATTATGTTCATCTTGGCTTCGATATCCGTTTGACAGGCTTCTCTCTAATTTGGAGTAAATAAAATCCAGCGTACGCTGCTCGGTGTGTTTCTGTTTATATTTTATTAAAGCGCAGAGGGAGACCCTGATTGGATACAGCAGCAAAGTTTGCGCACTCGTGATTGCTTCGCGGCTGCTTAATTGGTAAACTGAGAGCTTGCTTTGTTAAAACGCTGCCATTATTTATTCTTAATTACACAATCAATTCTGCAGGGAGCACTGCCTGCTTCCCAAACTGTGCCGCCCAACGTGCAATTTATCTAATGTAAAACTTTCCGAGTCTCCTTGTAAAACTTGGACTCTTCATTAACGCCTGGTGCTGAAGGGCCTGAATCATTGCTCAGACCTCGTTTTCGAGCAGGTGAGCAAAGTTTCAGGTGTGTCAGCGCCTAGGCAAAATCATCCAGACCAAGAAGACATCGATGCTGTCAAATTAATACTCTGTGTCCCTTGTCGCCTGATCCTTGCTTCAACCTAGTTTGGCTAAGGTGAGCAAAGTTTCAGGTGTGTCAGTGGCACTTGTCTATCATCATTTTTCAACAAGAACTTTCTCTGTGATTATTGTAATTTGTCTTTTTGAAAGTTTAAGCAATAAAGAAAAGTTTAACATTTTTATCACGTTATACCTCATTATATAAATTTGTGGTCAACCTGTTTTAATTATTGTATGAGAAAATTTTATGAAAATAATTTGTCACAATTTTCTGAGCGTTTTTTTGTTATGAAAATGTGCACAAGAAAAGGCACGTACTGCTGATTCAAGAACGAGGGAGGGTATGAAAATACATCACGGCCTACTGTCAACAGTAATAATCCTGTAAAAAACCTTTCATAATAAAAATTCTACTTTTTAAAATATAATATTATGCTGTGCATTTATTAAATACCCAACTAGAATTTCAAAAATATTGCTAAAAGAGCAATGTTATAGAAATAAAGTAATTCTGCCTTCTAATCTCCTGAATTTTTATATATATATATATATATATATATATATATATATATATATATATATATATATATATATAATACAGATTGAAAATCCAAGTTTTACCATAATTTCAATAAATAGTTAATTTTTGGAGAAAATGAAAATTAATGTGTTTTTTTCTGTATTCAATTTGAATCAGAATCAAAACTTTATTGAGTTTTTTGCACAAAGATTGCAGCTGCTCCGCCCTGTTTTGATTCAAAATGATAGCAAAAAAGATTTCATTCAACCGAGTAATTGATTTCCCTCCAAAGTTGCTTGGTAATGCACTAGAAAAATAATAATTTAACTCAGGCGCAATCAGTTCACGAAGATGGTATTATAAAAATTATCCAGTCTGGTAAGTTTGTACAACGACAGAATTCACATGAGGTCCATGGCGTTGAGATTGCTCTGCGAGTTGTCGTTCTGCACTGTATCCGTCGAATCACAAATCATGTCAGTACCACCGCCCACGCCGTTCATTTGGCACAACGAGGTGACTGGACCGTCGGCCATGCCGTTGTTGTCACTCAGCAACTCAGGAACGCCGCCATCGATCTTGGTTTGGCCCTCTCCACTTTGATCTACGCTGGCCAAGTTGTCCCAGTCGATTTTGAAACGAGTCACCCGAGGAGCAGTCGCCAGAATGTTTCGAGCAATCTGAAATTAATTTATTGATTTAATTTCAAAGACTCCGATCGTCAATTACAGAAAGAGTAAAAAACAAATGTACTGAATCTGCAGATATTGTTTGATTGACAAAAGCTAAAACATCAAATTAATATAAGCCAGGATGTGTTTGGAACTCTTAAAATTTTTCATTATAAAATGCCGATAATGGTACACAAATTTTGAACTTGGTAATATATTTCTATTTATAAGTGCCTGCCATTTTGAATTTATTTAAAATATAATCATTATTATTTTCAAAATTAGTCCTAGAGCGTTATTGCCGTAATTATTTGATCAGTAAAACATCTTAAAGATTCCCTCACTGGTCAGTGCTGGTCAGGATACAATTTCTTTAAATTTTTTAACTTCCACACAGACCTTATCATACTGTGGAGTAGTAGGTGGGTTTTCTCTCAGCTCAGGGTCTGTGTATTCGTTATTGATGAAGTAGCCAACCCTGACAAATTCCTGGTTGCGGTAACTACAGGTGAGAAGGACAACTGTGACCCCGAGGGCATCCGCCTCAGGAATACGAGTCACGTCTGGACAAGCAGCCTAAAATTACGCACAAGTCTTTGGTTAAATAAAATTTAATCTGCAATAGAAATTTACCTGAAATACAAACATGTGTCGACCTTCTGGAATGGGCCCAACGTAGATTGTGTCTAGGGTTTGATCGTGCTCTTCACTCTCCGCAGAGCCAACGTAAATGACTTTCCACTCAAGATCTGAAATTGTTTAGATTATGAAGTTTTGATCGGACAATCAATTAACGACTGGATTGAAACTTGGTACATACATAAAGCGAAAATATTAATTAGTTTAAGATAAAAGTAGTTTCAGCTTTGCTAGTCAAAAAATTTTTTTTAACCTTCTTTGAGCTCCTCATTGCATTCAAAAGTGACTTCAAATTGGAAGGGATGCAGAAAAGGTGAAGGGTTGCCCAAAACAACAACGTTGCTCAGGTGAATTTTCGCCATGGCGAGATCTGAAATAAGGAGATATTTTCAATATATTTTACGAATGGAACAATCTTTGGTGAACAAGAAAGGAAACCAAAATCAAAATTTATATGTGCCTAAACTGGGCATCATTAAAAGCTTGATTTTTGCTGAAATCCTCTCCATAATTGTAATAATTACCAATGAGACTTCGTCTTCAGAGTTTCCGGTTGCCGTTTGATGCAGTTCGAAGTTGAATTAAGGCGTAGTTGCAGCAAAAATTAAAGTTTTTAAGTTCTTCGGTCTCCCAGGTGGTCAAACTATTGCAGATTAAGCGGGAAATGACACAAAAACAAACCGTCCGGTGGCGCCGCCGAACGGAATAAACTCGAAGCAAACCAAAGTTCTCGATGGCGCGCGTTGAACAAAAAGTAAACAAACAGCGCAAATCGGCGAATGAACGCAATTAGAACAGGTAAATAGAATCACAATTATCTAAATTGCAACTCAAAATTAACTCTTAAATCCCCTTTTATCAAATCTGCAATAACTTCTGTCATTGCACTATTCAAACCCATTCAAACCTTTGTAAAGATTCTAAAAATTATTATGTATGTATGTATGTATTATTGCAAAAATTGCAATCAGATTTCCTAAAATCTCAACCACTATTGATAGCTCATTTTGATTGTCTTTAAAATTTTCGTATGTTTAGTTAATTTTGAGACAATCGAATGACAACCTTGAACTCATTGCATGTGTCAAGTTCCTAGTTTTTATGCAGTTTGCTTCATTCAAAATAATGTCTGAGACTTTCCCTGATTTACAAATCATTTCAACACAATTTTTTTTTTTAGGTCTTCTGCGAGCAAAGCAGTCTCCAAAGTGATGAAAAGAAGTCGGAATTGATTCTCCTTGACTGGACTTTGAGAATGGCCCGAGCAAATGACCAAGACTTTGAAACATGGCTGAGAAGCAACAGAGACCAGGTTTACTCAGACCAACCTGTCCCCACCGAGTCCACTCCTGTTCCTGGGCAAGAAGGCCGACGACAGGAAAGAGTTCCTCAAAATCGAAACCAGTCACACAACGCCGGAGACTTCCAGCAGGTCTCCGAACAAAGTCGTTCTTTGTACCTAGACTTTTTGCAAAGACAGATCAGAGATGATGAAAACGTTGATATGTCAAGGTAAAATTAAATATAAGTTTTGTGACTGTACTGATTTGTATGATTTTTTTTTATAGATACAGTCACGAGCCACCTGACCCCGACCTGAGTCACTTGCTGCACAGTTTTGCCCAGTCAGACCAACGCCGCATTATTCGCCAGCACGCCCACGAGGTGCCCTTGGAATCAGTCACTTTCGAAAACTTCACTGCCCTCTTATCTGGGCTTTTTGCGGTACAAATATTTTTCTCTGATTTTGCTTTTGATATATTAATTAATGGAAATTACAGAATGATGGTGTTACATACGAAAGAGCCTTGGTGCTATTTTGTTTCTGTTCGGAACTGTGCCTTCGAGCTTTGCGGGAATTTGCATCTCGATATTTTCACACAGTCACAAACATCTGTTTGCGCTTCATCACTGGATCTTTGTCAATGTGGGTCTATGCCAGGGGTGGTTGGGTGAGTAGATTTATTTTCATCAACTTGAATTTAAAATGGTATTTTATTTGAAGTTGTTTCATTTAAATTAATATTCATACATGAATTAATGCACACACAAATAACAAGCGAGCTTTTATCGGTTATAGCAGAAAAACTCAATTCTTATTCATTTTTAATTTATGTTACAAATCCTTTGACTTACTTTCATTTTGTCTTAATTAGAACAAAAATAGCCAGATTAGCATTATTGGGGGATATTCACATGCTAAGTTAGCACCAGAAAATCTCATAACAAAGTTAGCATGTGAGTATCCCCCATTAATTCTTATTTATGATTTTATTTTCAAACATTTGAGTACAAATTCATGAAGGTATTTTTAAAAATAAAAATAAAACATTTTATTACATATTTTATTTTGAAAACTATGTAGGTAGTACTTTTATTAAATTGATTGTGGCTGCGTCACGATGCACACTATTTGGGCACTACCTGTCCACCCTGGGCCAAAGAGCAAGCATTAGTGGCATTAGTGCAATTATTTAAATCATTATAACTAGAATTTTGGGCCCCGACCTTGTCAATCCACTGCCTCCCCACCTCATCCTCGAAGGCCAGAATGTGACAAAGCCTGTGATATATCTATTATAAAAAATTATAATTTTTGGGCACTACTGCATATAAATTTAGCTTCAAAATGCAATAATTGAAAACTCAATTGTTGCAGACTGCAGTTCGCAATGCACTACAGCAGAGCACTTTTGGTGCCTTCATCCTCGGAGCTGTCTTAGCCACGACTGTCGGAATCATCTTATGGGGAAGATAGACTCCACGTCCTATATTTTGCTGCAATTTTTTTGTGGCCATTTTTTTACTATTTTTTGTTAGTTATGTTTTAATTAATATTTAAAAAATATTATTCCACAACATTCCGACTTCCCACTCACTCCCCATTTTCTTTCATCTGCTGAACTCGCATTTTGTGAATATACAATTTCAACTATGACTGCTGTTGTATTCAATTATATGAATTATCTTTCAACTCAACAAATATCAAGAAAAAATCAAGATCTCCTAAAGTTATCTGAAATTTTGTAACCAAAGAATTTTGGGTCCACAGTAACATATTTAAAAATAAATATGAAAAGATTTTTACAAAAATAAAGTTTTTCGCCTCCTAAGAAATTTTTTCAAAGTAATCATTTCCCATTAAGTAGATTTTTACTTTTTTTTATCAACTTTTTTAACTGCTATATCATCCACAATTTTAAATTAACTCTGCTGACGTGAGGGAGTAGCAAAATATTTTAATTGCCGTCCTTTGATAAAAATGCCGATTTTCTGTTTTGATTCCGATAATCTTCTACGCACCACGCAGTGAATTAATTATTTAGATGTTCTACGTGCTCAGTTGACGCAAGCCAAATATTCTAGGCTGCAGTTAAATGATTGATATTGTGTTTGATGGACGGATTGCCTCTTAATCAGTCGCGATTTGCGTTTATCACAACAAACCCCTAGTATAAATCAGTTGTCAATACAGAAAAATTAGTTGTGTTTCTCTACCCAAGTCGGAAGTTACTTTAAAAGTAAGTGACAATTTTCCCTTTTTTTTACTTCATTTGTTTTTAGAGAATTATTATTTCAAAATTTCTTATTTAAAATTATGAGTGCTGAGAATGATGCTTCTTAAAAGAAAAATTAAAAATATCCGCCCAAAGAAGATAAAATCCATTGTCAATGCTACTGAAATTAGACTTTACTTGCGACAAGGAAATTTTTTTTATCACAGTCATCTTAAACTGTAATCGAAGTGATACGAGATCATTATTTTTCATAGGCGATTCGTTTGTGAATGCCGGTTTAATGTAAGTTTAACGAGAGATTGCAAAATTAATTGAAAAGGACGCGGCCAAATGCAGCAATCTCGCTGCCTTGCAGCTTTTGTGTCAATTATCAATCATCAAAAATGTTTTCGCCGCATTAACTACGTGTTAACACTCAGAGCTGTCGTATAATTCACAGAAACAATCACAGCACTGAGATTACAAGCGAGATTACCAAACTGTCAAGAGTGGCGATTAGGGCCGATTCACTTCAAAGGTGTTGCCGATCGGACGAAATCAGCAGTGCTCTTTGTTTTTTAAGGCGATTCTTTAAGGGAGGGGTAACAATTAGCCTAGCATTTGCGTGCATCCTTTTTACTTTGCGTCACCTCGCTCAAAGGACACGCCACTTATCTATTGGCTAAAAATTCCTTGATCACTATATTTGCGCTTGATAAGTTCGCATATTCCTCCTTGCGGGCTCGGAGTGAGCGGATCTGATTTTACTAAATTCCTTCTTACGAAGCAAAAGTTTGCTGCAGGTAATTTATGTTTCCAAAATTATGCCTTATTTATAAAATGTCTCTTAAATGTGTTATTTCATTTAGTTTGTATTTCAATGAAAAAGGAATTTAAAAGGAACTCTTTTTGCTGCGTTTTCTTATATATTTAATTATCTTATTACTAGATATGAAGTGCTCCTTCGTGAGCGGCATCCTCTTGCTCACGATCGCAGTAGTGTTAACCATTGATCAGGTCCAATCACAGAGTAAGTGTTTTTTTATGGATTTAAAGGGAAAAAAATTTAAAAATTACTTAATTTCAAGGAGTCTTGGTATGCTACTATAGCAGTTGGGCGTACTACCGCCCCAGTAAGGGTCAGTTTGGCGTGGACAAAATTGACCCGAACCTCTGCACTCATGTGGTCTACGCCTTTGTTGGAGCCAACAGCGATGCCACTGTACGAGTCATGGACCCATGGCTGGAGCTCGAAGAGAATTGGGGACTTGGTAAGATTGAACAATTTTGGTTTTGTTTCGGAGAAATTACAATTTTTAATCAATTTCACAGGTCTTTTCAGGCAGTTCAATGAGTTGAAATTGAAAAATCCAAGTTTGAAAACTTTGGTGGCTATCGGAGGGTGGAATGAAGGCTCGGAGATTTTCTCAAATGTAACCTTTTTAAATTGATTTTTAAATGAGCTAATTGACAAGGTTCTAGCTTGTTGGAGACTCATCAATGCGCGCCTCTTTTGTCAATAACTTGTACAATTTTGTGAAGAATTACGGATTTGATGGACTCGACTTAGATTGGGAGTATCCGGCCCAACGCGGTGGAAGACCCGAGGATAAGGTAGTATTTATTTTCTGGCAAATAACTGGCATTTTATTATAAGAATCAAATTAATTCCAGCAAAATTTTGTTTATTGGATTCGTGAATTGCGTAGCAAATTTGCTCCCGAAGGTCTTCTTCTGACAGCAGCAGTGCACGCCGCAATATCTTCAGTTGGAACTTCATACGACATTCAAGAGTTGGCAAAGTAATATAAATTAAAATCATTTTAAATATCACTAATTTACTAAAACACTTTCTGAATTTAGTAATTTGGACTACATCAATATGATGTCCTACGACTACCACGGCAGCTGGGAACAGATAACAGGCATAAATTCTCCTCTGTACCCTTCTTTTGTTGACACTGACTACACTTTGAACATTGTAAAATTAAATTAAATTTATATAAAACTTACTGATCTATTTTGGGCAGAACGCTAGCATTCAATACTGGTTGAATAATGGTTGCCCATCAACCAAACTTCTGCTTGGGATTCCTACTTTTGGGCGCACTTATACCTTGAGTAACCCAAACAGCCCTGGTCTCGGCGCTCAAGCCTATGGTCCTGGCCTCCCTGGCCCCTATTCGCAAGAATCTGGATTCCTGGGTTATAATGAGGTTTGTTTAAGTATATCAAGAAACGTCACATGAATGAAAGTTTACATTTTCTTTAGATTTGTGAGCTCCAGTGGCCTGGTTTGTGGAGCATAAACTGGGCAGCGCAGCAGAAAGTTCCGTTCGCCTTCAAGGGTAGCCTGTGGGTTGGTTACGAGAACATGGATTCAGTCAAAATAAAGGTAAAGTTGATCAATATTCTATATTAGAATAAAATTTGACTTGAACCACTTGATTATAGGCTGATTATGTGAAACAATACAACTTGGGAGGTGCCCTGGTGTGGGGTTTAGAAACCGACGATTTCGACAATGTGTGTCGTGAAGGAAAAAATCCTTTGATCACAACTATTAAAAACAACATAAATTAAATACTTTTTCTCTCCCATTGACTTCAAAAGCTCCTGGCGCGAGTTTATCTTTGAATAAAATACTTTATTTCTATTAGCAAATTTCATATTTAACTTATATTGTTTGAATCTTCATCCGCTTGTATAATTTATTGAATGCACCATCTCATCACAATAATAATGGAAAACCTATTAGATTAATTTGTTTTATACAAATAATATTATGGATGTATTTTGCTTACTCGTTGATATTATAGTTACTTTAATTCTTATTGGTGTAGAAAATAAAATGGTTCAAATTATTCCAGATTAAATGATGTAATATTATTTATTGTTATTTGTGTTCTATCATTGAATCATACAAAATAATATAATTACGATAATTACTATGCCCTATGAGTTACAAGAAGTACATCCATAATAAAAAGAATAACAAAAGTTTAGATGAATTTTTGCAGCTTCCATTCACAGTTGAATTAAAAAAAGCTTGTAAAACCTTCAACCCTCATTTTATTATTAATTAGTATTCATAAAAAAAGTCATTTAATGATACTGTGCCCTCGCGCCAGAAATGAGAAAAAAGTGAACCAAAATCAGTCAAAGCAACCAAACAGTGTAAGCTTACAAAATAAATTGCCATTTAATTTCAAAAAATTATTAAAATTAATTTAAAAAACCTTCCAATTAAATCTTTCAAAGATTAATTGGTAATGTCAATAAAACGTAGCTAAACAAAATAGAAATTGTTCGAGCCTGAGATTTAAGATTATTTAAGGTCAAGTTGGCAACTTTGTTTCTTGTGTCGCACATTCGCAGCTGTTGTGTGATTCGAGTCTGACGTGTTTACTTTCTAGACGGCTGTCGTCTACCTTCTTGTCCCCTTTGAATTTGTTTTTCCTGCCATTCCCAGTGCCCTTTGGGGCTTAACTAGGTCAAAATGGTGTTAGCAGACTTAGGGCGGAAGATCACGACCGCCCTGCGGTCCCTGAGCAATGCGACCGTCATCAACGAAGAGGTAATTTTTGGGCATATGTTTTTGACACACTTTTATCGAAATACAAAACATTTAAACAATTTCTACATGCAGGTTTTAAATTCTATGCTAAAAGAGATCTGCGCTGCCCTTTTGGAAGCTGACGTTAATATTCGCCTGGTCAAGCAGCTGAGAGAAAATGTCAGATCGGTCATCGACTTTGATGAAATGGCTGGTGGCCTCAACAAGCGGCGAATGATTCAGACCGCTGTCTACAGGGAACTCGTTAAGGTCTTCAAAGGCCATTAAAATTCAATTAGAAATTAAACTGACTTGATTAATTTTCAGTTGGTTGACCCTGGAGTTAAACCCTTCCAGCCCGTCCGTGGCCGACCGAATGTCATTATGTTCGTCGGTCTCCAAGGTTCGGGTAAAACAACAACATGTACCAAACTGGCCTATCACTATATGAAGAAGAACTGGAAGGCCTGTCTGGTCTGCGCAGACACGTTCCGTGCTGGTGCTTACGACCAGTTGAAACAAAACGCCACCAAGGCGAGAATTCCATTCTATGGAAGGTCCAAAATTTTGTTGTGTTCTAATAAAAACCATTAAAATTTTTTCTTCATTTAATAGCTATACAGAATTGGATCCCGTGGTAATTGCTCAAGACGGCGTCGACCTTTTCCGGTCTGAAGGTTATGAAATCATCATTGTTGATACCAGTGGTAGACACAAGCAGGAGGACTCTCTATTCGAAGAAATGTTGGCAGTTTCGAATGCAATTGTACGGCTTGTTAAAAAAATTTCAACAAACTTTGAGAATTTTTTTAATAAATTTTCAGAAACCAGACAACACAATTTTCGTTATGGATGCAAGTATTGGCCAGGCTTGTGAGGGACAGGCAAGAGCTTTCAAGGAAAAAGTAAGCGTCGGTGCGGTTATTATCACAAAATTGGACGGACACGCCAAAGGTGGTGGAGCCCTCAGCGCGTACGTTAATTACTTGATGAAAAAAAGAACATTTTTCTAACTTGAAATTCCAGTGTTGCAGCCACAGAGAGTCCTGTGATATACATTGGTACAGGAGAACACATAGATGACCTTGAATCATTTAAGACAAAGCCATTCATTTCCAAGTTGCTCGGCATGGGTGACATTGAGGGCTTGATTGACAAGGTTCGTTCAATATTTTTTCCTAGTTTCCATAATTTCCATAAATTAATTAAAATCAATTTTGCCTTGATTAATTTTAATAAAATAAATAATTCCTTTAAAAATTACATTTCTTTCAAACTTTCTCATACAACTTCAGTTTATAAATAGATCTCTAATTTGTATGTCCTCCTTTAGGTTAACGAGCTGAAGTTAGATGACAACGAGGAGTTGATGAAAAAAATCAAGCAAGGGCAGTTCACCTTGAGAGACATGTACGAGCAATTCCAGAATATCATGAAAATGGGTCCATTCTCGCAAATCATGGTATTAATTTTTTCAGATTGAATTTGCCACTCTGTAAAACCTAACCTTTCTAGGGTATGATTCCTGGGTTCTCGCAAGATCTTCTCTCCAAAGGCTCCGAGCAGGAGTCGATGGCTCGTCTGAAACGCCTCATGACAATTATGGACAGTATGAGTGACGGAGGCAAGTTTAAAATGACTAGTTTAAAAGCACATATTTTTATTTTTGTGTCAATGACTTTGCAGAACTGGACGACAAAGATGGAGCTAAATTATTCAGCAAAAGTGCTGGAAGGGTTACGAGGGTGGCCTGCGGGGCTGGAGTCACGGAAAGAGAAGTCAAAGACCTAATTTCTCAATACACCAAGTTTGCTGCGGTTGTGAAGAAAATGGGAGGAATCAAGGGACTGTTCAAAAGTAAACAAAATAATTTAATTGAAGACCTAATGTCATAATTTTTTACCTAATTTAGACGGAGACATGATGAAGAACGTAAATCCATCACAAATGGCCCAACTCAATCAGCAAATGGCCCGAATGATGGATCCACGAGTTTTACAGCAGATGGGTACGTGGAAGAATAAGTTTTTAATGAAGTTCATTCCTCATTTCTGAATTATAGGTGGCATGAATGGCCTGCAAAGTATGATGAGACAACTTCAGCAAGGGGCAGCTGGCGGACTTGGCAATTTGATGGGCGGACTCGGTGGTGGTGGCGGATCCGAGGGCGGCGGTGGTAGAGGTGGCGGCGGCAAACACAAGAAATGATTCACAGCATTGCCATAAATAAATAAGATGAAACGGTTATCCTTTGTTAAACCAGCGATCCTCATTTGATATGTTTATTGAAATGGAGGCACGCATTTTGAAGCTGTGTTCTCCTCTCACTTGCAATTTCATATAAATGAAAAGATAATAATGTTTTCACATTGTGCATTTTCATTACAAATTGTTAAATAAAACAATTTATTTCAGTGGTTAGATTTTATAAATAGTAATGATTGGGAGGAATTTGTGCCAAAATCTTCAACAAATTCACGAGAGCAAATTAAACTAATTTTATACACTTTTCTAGCCAAACTTAATTTTTGCCTGATGAAAATTTTGTTGACGCAATCAGATTTTGAAATTGATTGTTTCTTTTGTTAAAATTAGAGTTTCAAATTAAATTTTATTTAATCATACCTCTCTTGCGTTGAAAGAACTGGATTTTTTAACCTCATTTTTGGTAAACCTGATAAGAGATAATTGATATCTTTGAAGGTTTATTTATACCGTTATTTTATTTCAAGGGATTATGCAGAGAGGAACAAAGGTTGCAGTTTTAAAACAATCATGGAATTTTTATTACAAATCATTACCCAAGACAATGCAGTGAAACAAAAGAAGCTAGTATTTATTTATACAAGACTCGGTGAGATGTGCATTGCATTAGTGTGTCGTCCAATTACCTCAAATTCTATTAATCACAAAAATTTCAAGAGACATAAGAATAACTGCGTGGAATTACATGTTTGTTGTTTTATCAGAAAAGGTTTAATTATGTGGCCCTGCGTAATTCAGCTTTTAAGGTTACAAGTTGTTTAACGGAGATCTCTAAAAGCGAAGAGCCAATCGGGCTGCTGATTAAACAGGGCCAATGCTGTCTGTGCAGACGGAGAGGCAAAACTCATTCCTTAGCATAAGTTAAACAAATGAGCATGAAAGTCGGAAAATCAATAGCCGAAGAGGATTACTTTAATTTATACACAGACTATGAGAGCCGACTCATTTATCCTCGCACCACTCATTCTCCTTGCGCACTTGCTCCTCCTCACTGGCAGTGAAGTCGTTCTTAATGTTGAAGGTCTTGCGGATCTCCTCAGGAGTCTTGCCCTTAATCATGTTGGCCACGGTTTTGCATGTCACGTCCAGCAGGCCTTTGATGTCCAAATAGTTAGCAGCCTAATGAAGAAGAGTGTAAAATGCTTCCAAGTTTTCCTTGAATTTTTTTTTACCAAGATCAGTTCAAAGAGGGTTCCCTGGTCGACCTTGAGGAAGTCGGCGTCCCAGCTGCTGATGTCGTCGGTGCGCTTCTCCTTGTTCTCATCGTCTTCAGGTGGGGGAGGGTCGTCTTTGTGGAAGGTGGCCCACTGGATGACCTTCTTGAGGATTGGGGAGTTCACGTTGGGCAGAGGAACCACTTCTTCGTCATCCTCATCCATGCCTAAGAATATAAATAAAAATTAGGCATGCAAAAGTTTTTTGCATAACGGATTAAATCCTTGAAGAATTGGAAATAAGGACAATATTATTGAAAAATGGTTTAAAATGAGAATTTCAATTTATGCTTGAAAAAGGATAAAAGCCTTGGCGCATACCAAGGTCCTCGAGCATGGTCTTGATGGTGACGGAACACTTGGCGATCTCGACGTCAACCTCGAAGACGTCGCCGTCCGAACTCTGCAGTTTGATGTTGGGCATCTGCGGACAAAATAATTAATCTCGTGTCATCCTCGCAAAACAAACAAGATGAGGGAATCGGCTTTGACGAGTCACAATAAAATTGGGAAACGCTGCTGGCCGAGGAAGCGGACGAGCCCGACGCCGAATGTCGCGGCCGCTTTTCCGACTCGCCTTGCCGAGATTTCCACCGGAATCATGATTTTCATTTGTAGGGAATTAAGTGGGGATCAAGAAAATCACCTTTGTTGCTGGTTCAAAAGGCTGGATTCAGTCTATTTTTGTTACCTCGTGAAGCTTGTCGACTTGAAAGTGGACGTCGAAGTTAGCAGAAAAATAAATAGGCTGATGGCAGCGGTGTCTAGCGGCGGTTCGCGGTACTAAAATTGTCTCCTTTTGAAAAGCGCGGTGCATTCGGCACATTTCTCACTTAAATTTATTTTTGTTATTTTTACATCTGTCCTTGTTTATTCATCCAATGTTTTAGAATATCTTTGTTTGTTTTTAACAATTTGTTGCAAAGAAAAATAAATTTTGTAGAAACCAGCATAAGAAATAATTTGAATAAACTTGTAAGACACCACACTATTCATGTGCAAGTAATTTTCTGATGATTTTTATTTTTTAGCATTCCTTCCATTCTACCTAGTTTAAAAAGTAAGTTTTCAAAAATCATCTATATCTATAATCATTTAAAAAAGAAAATACTGACTAAAGAATATTATTTAAATAAAAGGAGAAATTTTATTTAATTCAGGGCGGCTCTCCTTGTCAGTCTCCTTTTACATCATTTATTTAAAGGTTAATGCGATGAATTAAAAATGCTCAATGTGTTCGTTAAAATTAAAGGGTTAATATAATGTGAATTAAACTTTTCAGGGTTGGCAGGAGTTTTGGGTGGATTATTGATTCTCAATTTTGGCTGGCGCTGGTGGCTGCTGGGTCGCTGGTGGGACAGGTTTTGGCTTCTCAGACAATGATTTCTGCATAATGACTGGACGCCTGCGAGCAAAAGGGTTGGTTGGCGGCGCAAACACGTCTTTTGAAGTGGTCGTCGGCCTGCGCAGACGTCGGAACTGTTCCACCGAGGTGGCAACCTTCAGCATTTCTTTCAACTCGGTATGGGCACTGATGGCGATGGCGTAGGCAAGGTCATCTTGAAGGCCTGATTGAAACTGTATTTTCAACTCCTTCTGGAATTCAAATTCTTTTACGGCCGATGTCTCCTCGGGGTGCGAATTCCGGGCTGCAAATAACTTTGTGGCGGCTTCCTCTAGACGTAGCAAAAACTGCTTTGCCGTTTCATCCTCTTCTTGGGTTAGTCGTCTGAAGGCATTGCGGAGTTCTACGTAGCTCGGCTTTTCTTCAAATTTATCTTCGAGCAACTTCTGCAGTCCCTCGAGGGTCAAACTGGTGGTGTCGAGCTGCTCAGCAAATTCAAAAGCGTTGCCGGTCAGACAGCTGATGGCCTGGTGTACGAGCTCGCGGTCGGTGATGGTTGGCCAGCAGTACTTGAACCTTCGGACACTCTGCATGAAGTCGGACAGCGAGGCGCCATGCTCGTCACCGTAATGAAGAATGCGGACGCTGGCGAGCTTCACGGCCATCAAAGTCACGGCGTCTGTCCAGGAAGTCATGTCCATCGCATTATTGGCCGCTCTAAATTCGCCCATTCTCAGAGACGTGCTGAAAAAGGCAGATATAAGAGCAAAATTATATATATAGAGAATGAAAAAAAGAAATAATCCCCGTACCCCTTTTTCAGCAGGGAAAAATAAGATTTCCCGCGCTGCCTAAAATTTAGAATAAATGAACCGCGCGCCCTTGCGCGCGCCGTGCAGCGAGCCGCGGTTGCTGCGCTGCTGGCAGGCAAAAAGCAAAGAAGGAAAGGAAAATGATACCTTGCGGCTCTTCTCCTTCCTGTGATCGCGACTGCTCAACTTTCCTTTGCCGACAACAAATATAATGAAAAATATGGCTACTGAAGCCCACAAAATAAACTTGTATTTATTTTCCCGATTAAAATTTTCTCGCGTGCGTCCCTTGCAGTTTTTTTACAACTCAAAATTTCCCAAAACGGATTCTAAAAATAAAATCAGAGAACGTAATATTATTTTACCACACTCGCAATTGGTTGTTGGTTTTCTGCAGCTCTGGTAAACAACGTGGTCAATTTTCCAAACGTTTTCTGAAGCGATTCGGACCAAATTAAAGGTATAGTCGCGGACGACTAACCCTCGCCTGGACACAAAATTCTGTCGTGGAATTTGGTCACTCAGGCCCCCACGACGGTACTAATGGAGGATAGGACCAAAGAATATTTTCAGCGCGCGGCGCACATAAACAAACACTTGGTCGTCGCTTTTCTTTCTCTCTCGTCTCGTCTCGCGGCCGGGTTGCTGGTGTTGCTGCTGCTTTTGTGCGCTGCTGCTTCAGGGTGCCACCTTCAGGGCGCGAAACATACTTTTGTTAAAGTTCGATCAAACAGGGAAAATCCAAAAGGCACGTTATTAAAATTTAACTCAGTACATTAATTAAATTGTTGTAGAAGATGGTCCATATCGGTTCAACAGTTTGTAAAAAAATTAAAACTTATAAATTGTGTATTTAATTATTTAAAATTACTATTTATTTTTTAATAAAAGCCTATGAATAATATTGTATAGATCACCATTGGATTTTAAAAGTTGGACTCCATAAAATATTGATTGAAGTAAAGTTATAATTAATGAAATTTCGTCTTGTCATTTCACCCAATATTGTGCAAGAAAAAGCTTTGAAGTTTCTACCAAACTTTTTGTTTAGCAAGATCATTAAGGGGCTATTTTATGCTCCTAAAAAATGAGGCTCAAAGTAATTTGTGGGTTCACCAGACCTTAAAGATAAGCCTTTTTAAGCGTGTGCCTATTATAAGACACGACATTTTTTGTAATAGAAAATCTGATTTTGCTGTTATATAATTATTTTAAATGAAATTAAAATTTTCACCTGTCCTTTTTTAGTGAAATTTTTCGTTGAAGTTCCGCCTAAGTAAAAATAGTTCACAGGAGGCACGGCATACAAAACTGCGTACGCATTTATGTCCTGCTCCCGCGCGTGTGGGAGGAATGTCCCCTGGGAAGGTGATGGACCATCATCAAATGCTGCTTAGGCCGCGCAATCATCTCTCTCGGCGAGAGAACAACACACGCGTGAGCACCTCACCAGGAAGGGTCTAACAATCTTGTTAGGCTCATGAATCTCTGACGAAGAAACGCTCTTTTTATCACGGGACACACAGCACTTAAGGAGACCTGCGCTCTATCAATACTTTCGGCTTCTCGTTGTACTGTTACACATTTGAGATGCAGTTGCTCTCAACACTTTTTCTCGTTTTCTTTTTATAATTTTGTTATATTCATTTTCTCTTCTTTATTTTAAGTTATTTCAACTTATTCTCTCACAATAGGTCAATGTTTATTTAGAAAATATCACATCAAAGAGAGAATTGGCAGCCAGCCTAAATATTTTAATGGATCTTTCAGATTTGTTGACCATCAAGTCTCAAATTGAAACAAAATTATTTATTGTGATTAAGTTTGAGATGTAGAGAGTACATGCTCAATGAGCAGTTTGCTTTTTATGAGAAGTATTTTGATGCTTAAATTAAAAATTAAATGATAATTTTTTTAAGATTCTACTTGAATGAAAAATTTGGTTTTTAAAAAACTTGCTGATGTTCTATTTTTTCTCTTGTACAATGCTTTAGACAATTTCACTTTTTCACTATATGATTTTTTAATGATTTAAAAAAAAAATAGTTGTTCATTTAATATTTACTCGTCAAATCAAATCTCATGATCAATTTATGATAAATAATAATCATGTTTAAATCATTTTACACAAAAATTATCATAAATGTTAGGGTCGCACTTTTATAAAATTTAATCAATTCTAATGCAATGAAATAAAAGCTAAACAAATTATGATGTAACAAACAGCACTCTGAAAATTATTTCAAGATTATTAAAACTTATTAATTCTCAATTTAGAATGTTATTAATCTAAAAAGAGATTTCCAATTAATTTAATTAACAAAATGTGTTTTAAAAATGGTAAAAATGTTCAGATTTTGATGAAATCGACTTCTAGCATATTGATCTCCTTGGTGTGCCAAATCAAATGGTGAATCACACAATGCCCTTACGCGGGAAGTTTTTTTTTCAAAAGGCGTAGGGACAGGCGGCGATTGCTTAAAAACGGCCGTGGGAAAAATGTGAAATTGTAGGTGTGTCTTATCAAAAATTGAGCTACATTTTGGCTATATCTTGAAATTATATTGCCGGGTGCATCCTCTGTGGTAGAATTTATTCTTCACAAATCAAGTCAAAAAATAAAAGAAGGGAAAATTATATTTCAGCGTTCAATCTATTGCTGCGTTGATATCTCATTTTAAGTTGAATTAAGGGGTTGAAATTAAATCAATGCATTATTTTGGAAACCTACTTCAGATTTCGCCGCTATAAAAATCCATTTTTTGTTACTTATGATGAAAGCTTTCAGGAAAAAAATAGGTGAAAATACTTTGATAATAATTCTCCTTGTGAGAGCAAAATCATATAAATTTGAAATTTCAAGTCGCAGTTTCCTTGTTTCATAAAAAAGTTACCGCGAGCTCGTAAAATGTTCATCGCATTGAGTGCGTCATATCATAATGAGGGGATGAAAACGTCAAAAGTGGATACTCAAAAACGCGCCTCTTGCCGTTTCTGCGCTCTCTTCTCTCACTTTCAACGCGCTTTGAGAGGGAAAAACTTTTTTGATATATGCGTCGTTTAATGAGATAACGTGTCGCGTTGATTGTGCTCGCGCGCGCTTTGTGTATCTCACCTGCTGCATGCAAAACAAGCAGCTAAATAACAATTTAAGACGAGCGTGGGTGTGCAAAGCGGAGGTACACGTGAAAGGGCTAGAAGAAAAACGAAGAAGGCGGCCCCCTGAAATCTGCTCTTAATACCTTCGGTTCCGCGCATATGCGCTCGGACTTTTTCTCGGGGCGCCCACCGCAGCAGGTACATAAACGTCTCGACGCCAGCACTTGCACCCTCTGTCGCATCCAGCCTTCGGTGACATCAACACAGGCAGCACACAGGTGAGAAACACTTATTCGCTCGTGTATTTTCAAAGTCCTGCTTTGATTTCCAACTTCGATGGAAAGTTGCAAAGAAACATTGTGGTGAAGGTTTTGATTTATTAGATTTGTAGGTAAATTTATATTATGCAGAAACACATGGATCTTTAAAATAAAATAAACAATCTGCAGGACTATCAGAGCAGATAGTTTTTGAATGACATGAATAGGCAGGCCACAAAAGGTGGGGTGTAGAAGTTCAAAAAATCATTTTCGTTCTGTAAAAGGAATTTACCATTCTATATTCAGCCTTACAGAATTATACTTCAGGTCTTCGATTTCGAATGATCGAAACAATTATCCACTTAATTATCTCTGCCAAATCAGAGTACTGATTTAATAAGAAAAAAAAAATACTGCTCAGGTTCATTCAAACACCAAAAACGGCAATATTTTTAATATTACAAAAATTTCTGATTGAAATTATCAATGTTATTTTGCGCCTCTGTTTTGGGTATCGTGTCAATAAAAATGCAACCACGCACGTGAACATAACCCCTAAAATAAAATCTATATAGTTATTTTGATAAAAAAAAATTTATAATAAGCACGTTCAGCAGGCAATCAAGCAAACAGAGTATGTACCTCTGGGACAAATAAGTTCAATGCAGTAAAAACGTATTGGAATAAATCTTAAAGCAAAACGTACAGATTTTTGTAACAAAGCTAGTTTCCTAGCAAAAAAATTTTGGAATTATGATTGCTTTATTCATAAAATTTCAAAATAGTTTTTTATATTCAGAGTAGTTTTACTTTTTAGCGCTTTTTAGTAAGCACAATAAGGATTTCAGAGAAATAATTGTTATTGATTTTTGTTTAACAGTAAAGTCCATGCACTAACCAAAGAAAAATCGATTGTTTCTTTCTATAAAAAAACAACAAATGAATTTCTCTTATTTTTAGCCTGCAGTAAGAATAAATTAAATCGCACACCCACACACACTATATACCCACTGCAAATAAGTCCATACTTACGCCAAAAGAAAGTTTTAATCAAGCTCAGTGTTTTATTTTTATTTTTCTTTCTCTTATGTTTGATGTAACTTTAGAGGGACAAAGTAAATGATGAAAAAAATGGAAAATGCCTTAAGGAGAGGGGAAAAACCTGAAAATATCATGTTCCTCAGAATCCTACCCAGTAGACTTATTCCTTTTAATAAAAAAAAAAAACAGTTTGGTTGTGCATAATTTTTATGTGTATTAAAGAATTCACAGAAACTCATGTGTCATAAAATAAAAATACTTATTTTCCACTATTTTTAAATTTCTTTTGTTTTAATATTAATTTGAAACGCTATGTCTTATATTCAAATACAACGCTAGGCATGAAAATTGATTCATCTAAAGATAGAAGAATACGTATTTTAGTGGCAATATATCCAGTAAGTTTATAAGTTTCCTTTTACGTAAAAATTGCCAATCGACTCAAAATCGCGCGTTCCAGGAAACTATGAAGTATCCAAAAATAATTTCAAAAGCAAACTTTTTCGAAGCCCAGCGGCTGTTGGAAAGTTAGACGTGCATTGAAATTGAGCGACCGAACGCGCGTCTGTTGGCTGGATTCACTCCTGGCATTTGCCATTCAATAGAAGTGAAAAGATCGGAAGTTACTTATACGCGCTTTTATTGCCGGTGGCAATTTTATGCAACCTGCCCGACGCCCTTGCTCGGCGGAACAGCCTATGTGCTCACAGAAGCAGTTTTTTTCTTGAACAGGTGCGACCAAGGAAACGAGGGCGTAATTGCTCGAGGAGCATCTGCATAAATGCATAATGTTCAAGAGAGAAATTGCAAACATTTCATAATAATTCATGGAATTTATCGTTGGTTGCGAGTTTCAAGCATAGATATTTTACGACATTTCATTTACTTACTCTGGCATTTTTATAGTATTTTTATAAGCAAAAAGTGAAAGTATCACCCAATTTATCGAGTTGAGTGACAACAAATATTTTATGCAAAATACTATGATAATTTATAATAAAAGTAATAAGAATTTAACTATCTTTACAACAATCGAAATATAATTAAGTATTTATTTTCTTCAAATTCATGCAAAAGTTAAAATAATTAATTTGCAGTTGATGAAGCTTTTGATTATTTGTTGATTTCAAATACATCAAGTGCAAAATTATCAATCATTGTTTAAAATTTAAAATCTTCCATATAAATCTTTTTAATATTCCTTCTACTTGACGATATCAAGAAGTTTTGCTAATTCTTGAAGTTAAATCCTCCAATAAGAACCTTTTTCTCATTTTGAATCTCTGCCAAGCTGGAAACGCTTTGCAATATCAGTTTCTTTGATGTCCCTTTGTACGTAGACGGACGGCACGTGGGCAGGCATTAAGTTTGCGAGTGATTTTTCAGCTTCTTCGATGGCGATTTCGGTGACATCGGGTCCGCGGGTGTTGCTGGCCGCTTGTGTGCTGCTCGCCGCAATCTCGGCCTCCCACCAACAAAAGAGAGCGATTGACTGTCGGTGAGTACCTAATGAAAACACAGCCGCCGAATAATCCCCGACAAAGGCACCGTCGCTCTTTATTATTTGCGTACCTGCGTCCCCATGGGTCCCCATGCCAATGATGCTCTAAATTGTGCCACTCCGGGCGTGCTTTATTAAATCCGGCAGCCTATGCTGACCACTTGAGAAACAAATAACCAAACAAAGCCTGTGTCTGCTACTCAGGTTTCGTCTGCGTTGAAATTAATGCATACATTTGCCAATTGCGGCGGCCAGGCCCTTTGCATGGGAAGCATAATCCATTTAACAGCAAAACACCACAACTAGAATTTACTAAGTATGTTTTGATGAATATGAGATGTCTAATTGTGTGTGTACAGGTGTACTTGATATAAATGAGTATGACTGTAAAATTTTAGGAAAGGCAGAGCTAAATATATATTTTTATTTATTTTTAACCCTTGAAAAGAAAATTTAAAAGAAAAAGAACTGTTTGAATATAGTTCCAGTTTTTATATCTACAGCCCTATGAGCTCCAATTCTTATCTTCTCGACATTTCCTGTAAAGAAAAATTAATTTTGATCTCTCTTCCACTTCAGGAGGTTTGTCTTCGCTCCAATTTGCCGTGGGGTTGCAGCAAAGAGGTCTGATCCAACCCTGGGGCGACTCTTTCACGCGCTGCAACATCAGAAAAGGTTCGCTTTTAAATTTTTGTAATCAATTTTGCTGCACCAAACAAAAATTATTGAAAAAAAAAATTAAATTTAAAATTTGTTCAAAAGGTTACTTGCTGAAAATGAATCTGATTTTCTTCAACCCGCGACTGTATCGCCGGACGTCAGAGATTTAGCGGCACCTGCGCCACAACTTCTGAATAATGAGCAGGTAATTTCAATTTCATGTAATGTTCGTTTTTTAATCATTAAATAATTCGTGCAGCCCTGAAAAATAAAATCTTGAACACACACATGACTATAAATTTTAATTTATTGAAGAGATTTAAAAACTTAAGCAACCGAAAATTCTTTTTTGTGTCCTCGGCAGGTTGCGTTTTAAATAGCAAAGATCTCTGGGTTAAAAAATAAATTAGAATTTCACTTTACAAGACTTCATCAAATAAGGAAGTGAGGCATAAATTTTGCCCTTTTCATTTATTAAGCAAAATTTTATGTTTTTAATAATTTTAATATCCTCTAATCAACATCCATTAAAAAGTTTTTTCATTTTGTTTTCCAGGAACTGGACGCTCGTCGCGACTCTGCCTACCGGTTTTACATGCCGCGCTTGGCACCCCCACGCTCGGAATACGAATACTAACCTTCCCACACACATTCGATGTTGCACTAAGTTTGTTGATTGATTAATTATTACTTTGACGAATAATCCGCTGCATAAAGATGAGACGGCGCTCCCTTGATTGAGTCAATTCAATTATGTTAAGAGGCTGGGAATTTATTCACACACAACACACACTTTACCTATACATATATGTGTTCTTATGGCAACGCTGAGATTGTAATTGAGACGTGCTACTTATCAGGCGACACCTGCATGCCGCGGCAAATTTCCGCGTACATAATTTTCTTGTGCTGGATGAACGATTAATTCAATAAAACTCTCGCAAAAGAGGATAGATGATAATGAAACACCGATAATTCCGATTGAGTTTTAATTTCACCTAACAACCTAATATAAATTTTTTTAATTCTCAATTAATGCGTTATACGTTAGAAGGCAAAACAAATTTAATTTTAAAGTTAAAATATTCCAATTTTTATCAAGTAGGCTGATTTTCTAATTATAATATAATTGAATTGAGGAAAAATTAAATTTTTTACTGAAAAATAATCTATCTAAACGCAAAATAGAGAAAGCAAAAGTTTCGAGTTAGAGGTGAGAGTTTGAATTAAAAAAAATATGCAAGTTTTCTTCTATTACTCTTTTTGTTTTATTCATAGTAATAATAATTGGCACACATTCTTTTTACAACAAAGGCGATGATAAACATTACATCTTGTTACACCAAAAGGTCTGCACATGTCAAGTGACTAAAACTCAGATCCTCCGCTCGTGAATAAAAAACCTTAAAAACCAACCAACATGGAGACGAACCTAAAGTTTATTATTTTTATTCGAGACTCTTCGACTTTTTTGTTCATTCATTTTCGATTGTTCGCTGGAGTGTGTGGCTGCTTTGTATGTAAATGGCCTGCGCGCGGATAATTCTTTACAGTGCATGAGAATGAATGAACCAGTATAATTTCATATAAGAAGTAACTCTTTGAACCAGCTACTTTTTATTTTATTTTTTAATTTTTTCGTAACTCTCTGGTTTACATCATTTTCCCTTACTTATTTACAACTCGGAAAGAAGAATCGTCATTATTTACAGACAGGATTTTTTTTTTATTTATTTGATACATGGTGTTTTTTTATTCTCTTAAGTAGTAGGCCTGTGAAGAAAACCAAACTTGGAGTGGTTATTATTTTTGCAACAATACATCAGAAGTGTCTTTCTCTCTTAATACTTTGTCAGAGATCAGAGGCCAATAGCTCTGATGGACTAGATCATGATAAGTAGTGATTCGTTTTCTGTGATTCTCTTTTCGTTAACTCTGGCGTGAGGTTCTTTTTTGTTTTCTTCAAAAAAGTCGATTTGTTTGAAGCAGATAATTTATTGATAAAATGCATCACGACCATTGCGCTGCACAATTTTATTTACTTTGTGCTCTCCAACAATTTTATTTTATAGTTTCGCCGAAAAACAGGAGGCTGTTTTGAATTTCCAAAGTTGCTTTTAATTGACCCTAACAGATAATAATTTGGATATGCAGCGAAAGTCTCTCTTTCAACACTATGCACTAAAATGTTTCAAAATTTACTTTGAGTTTGAGTAATTTTATTGACTACTTACTCTCTAGGCAGCTTTTCCCAAGTGTCAGCACTGAACGGAATTTTGAAAATTATTTATTTTGATTTTTAATCCAATTGAATCAATAAGATGTGCGTTCCTGCGGTTTCCTCGTCAGAAATGATATTTCTTGCTTTCCTTCACGATCGGTTCAACGCTTTTCAGTCAATGATAATATAATAGAGGGTTACAGTTTTTTTTTACTTCCATCTTTTGAAATAGAATGAACAAGTTTATTTTGGTAGATATAGCCATTCGCTGGACAAATTCGATCTTTTTCCTCTTTCTTAGTTTTTGAAAAGAAAACGTTCATGATATCGATTTCTGTCACATAGTTAACTGTTCGTTAGGAAGACACTTTGGATTTTTTTTTCGTAGAGCGACATAAATTGCAGGCAAACGATTTCCACATTTTTTCGTGAAGGCCTAGAGTACTAAGTGGTGTGAATTCCGCCAAAGCGGATCAAGTTTTTTACTTTTTTAATCTCACCGCAGAAAAATCAATCAAACGAATAAATAATATTTTATTTTTTACACATGTGGTATTTTAGCGCTGGAAGTCAATTTGACTAATCACAAATTTGACTAGTGGCTTTGTCAAATTCCGCTGCCTCGAAACGCTCAAAGTCTTATTCTTGCAAGTAGTTCATCGATTGAAAACTCCATGCGTCAAAATTTTTTAATTTGATTAAAGAGTAATTAAAATTGTACGCGTCCCTCGACCAACGACGCACCTGCAAAAGTATTCTTTCGCAAGATTAAAACTGACTTTATTTATCAGAAAGAGAAAGAGAGGAATGTAATTTCAAAGTTGACTTCTTTTTTCATAATTTTTAAATGGGACTGAAAGCCCCCTAAAAATCACAATTCATTTTCCAGATCTGGGAAGATGAGGCAACCACACAAATTTCCACAGGATTATAAAAACGTGAAATATGATTTTCAGGCAGTTTCATCCTCTTCGATAATTCGTTCTGAAATCGGACGATGCCGACGGATCTCAAATTCAAATTAGCAAAAGAAACAATTTTCCTCGCGGCACCCTCCCCATTTCAGAAATTTTAAATATATAATTAATTTTTTTAATATTAATTTTACATATTAATCAGTCTGTTGGAATGAAGGCTTCACCCCTTCTAATAAATATAATGTACATAATTATAATAAATATTTGCTCTCAGAGGGTCAGAGGCCTGCTGAGGGTGTGTCGCTCCGCCTTATCTGCCACCCGGCGTCGGCGGCGCGGCCGAAGAAGGGGCGTCGGTCGGTCTTCGGGGGTCACCGGCGCTCGCACCAGCCAGTGTTTGCGGTGTTGGGGGCTGCCGTGGCAGGGCCGGGGGCGGCTGGGGGCGCTGCCGGACGCTGTCGTCCACGAGATTAGCAGCACCAACGCACTGGTTGCCATAACTGCAGCCGAGCCGTCCATCCTGCAACACCGAGACCCACCGTCAGCAGTGCCCAGAGGTCAAAAGCGTGGTCAACAGAGTGTACTGTGCACATTGCAGATAGTGAAAATAGAAAAAAAAAACAATCCTGACAGTTCATCACTCGAGTTCAGTCTCGTAGCGCCAAAATTAAAATCAATATCCAGCCAATAAGCGCTCTATTTGTTCATTTTTCAATTATTTTTTATTGAAATTTTGAATATCTTCATTTTATATTTTATTTTGTTCAACACATCTTTATAAATTAGGTTTTAAAATATGAAAATTAATTCATCTAAAAATGGTACATCAAAATTTTCATTTCATTTAGAATTTTTCATATTTTATTTGCTTTAATCAATTTCTCTTCTATTTCAACCAAAAGTCTGAATAATACAAATTTGTGTAAGTGCCCTCAAAAAAAATTTATTTTTTAAATGTAATCAGTCCAAAATTATTATTATTATGAACTATTTACTTTTCAATTGACCCAATTATGTAACATTGAATATGAAAAATCAGTAATTTTATTTAAAAAAATTTTTACGTCTTTTAAAAACCTCTGGAGTTTGAATCTCATCCATTATAATGTGCAAATAGCAATGAAGATTTTCCAAATTTCATATTCAGCCAAGCAAATGTAAAAACAAGAAGCGAGCCTCTAGATTTATTGAAGCGGAACATTTTGCAGCTCTAAAATTATTTGCGCGCGGATATTGATTTTAGACAGCAGCTCTGCGGAAGCTACGTGCAAGCTATGACAAGTGTGAGTCTGACGTGAATCTCGTTCAGTTTTTTTTTTTTTAATTCAGCAACACCAATCAATGCAAGTGCTTCAAGGCCCTCAAGTTGAGGATTTTTTTTTAATAATATATTAAATTCACAAATGAAAAATCCTCAACTTAAGATAAACAAACAGAGGCCACACCAAAGTCAAGAAAGTCAAAGTTGTGTCGCAAAAGTAGTGCCAGCGTGCGCCAATCAGAGTGAAGTTGGTGCCCACAGAGTCATATATGAGAAGTGAAGTGTGTTGCGAGAGAGAGAGAGAAGAGAGTTTCAAGTAGTGTAAAAATTAATATATATTAATTAGACCAGTGTGCTGCCTATCATTTAGAAAAGTGCGAACAGCTCCCGAATGCAACACGCGCATTCTAAAAGTTGCAAACTACAAAGTGAACAGGATTTACATTCTGGAGCTGTCAGCACAGCAGGCGCTTTGCTGGTCAATTGATTTGAGTTAATTAATTTTTAATAATTGCTGATCAATTGATACACGTACATCTCACACGGTGCAATAAAACAGAGGAACAATTTGCTTATAAATAACGAATTATTTAATCCCAATCACACAAAAGGTTTGTTTGAAACTTTTCATTAAAAATCAAATTTTATTTGATAACGAGTAACTATATTTCAGAGTTTAAAATTTGATAAAATCTGGACTTAAAATTTTTAATAGAGAAAAAAGGAAGAACAGTAAATTAAACACCAAAGTAATGCTTCAATGATGTTATCAAATTATAAAAAAAAAATTAATATCATTTTTTAATATTTGTAAATTTAAAAATTGATTGATTTTTATATGAGTGGTAATAAATTAAAACCTTGCAAATTGTACCCTCTGATTTCGCAAGATTTCAAAGAAAACATGCAGATCAGATGTTAAAGAAGGTAGAGAGTGAGAGTAATAATAAAAAAACGGATTCCCGGCCATCTCGTTTGAATTTTGGGGTCAATTTTGGTCAATCCACTGTCGCTTGTTGATGTGAGAGTGAGAAATGGTTAATATATAGAGGCAGATGATTGATTGATTCAGTCAAGACAGAGTTAGTAGCAGCAGCAGTGAGAGTGAGGGGATTGGGTTAAGTGATTACCGATGCACACAAAACGCGCTATTGCTCACCAGACGGTCGCAGTACGGCACCTAAAATAGAGAGCCCAAATTACATTCACACATTGTTTAGTCGCGCCGACCATTCGCTTTAACGGGGGAATTAGTAAAAAAAAACGGGTTAATCAAATGCAAGTTAGCGCGCCCAGCAAGCTTCAGCATTAATATATTGTCAAATCATGCTCCTTGTTAAATTATGATAGGTAAAAATAATAGTCTACTTGAGAATTTATGGGGCTGGAAACTTTGGTTATTCCGTATTGTTCTGAAATTTCAAGTGGCAATTCTAGAAAAAAGCACTAATACATTAATTGATTTGTTGAAAAAAAATCATTCTAGAATTTCCAAACATAATTTTAACACATTAATTTCCAACCCAATTTTGTAAAATGAGCGCCAATAATGTCTTATGGGTAAATATTTACAGGATTTGGAGAAAGTTAAAAAAAATTGACTTTTCCCAAAAAGCCAATTTTATATTTTAAAGAAGAGGCAGAATTTATTCAACAATCACCCTGTTTATGAAAAACGTGTCTGCGCATGGTCTGGAGTGATTTTTTAAAACGTTTCGTTTGTTTCCCATCTTTGATTGTCTTACTTTACACCGGCACGAAGTGCAATTGTCGCCAGCGATGCGCCACTCGCTGCCGCTGACGACGTAGTGTCCCGCATAAGGACACGGTTGTCCCGGCACCGTGTTGTTGCCCTCGAAAAGGGTGCACGGGTCGTCCTCGCACCGCGGACAGCAGTCGTCGGGGGTGATCACCGGGTGCTCGCACTGCACCGGCGGGCAGTCCATCTTCCAACAGTCAATCTGAGCACCGTTTTCCCCTCTCTGCAAAAACAGGAAAATCAGAAAAACGGGGAAGGATGGAATGATGGAATAATATTCATTCAAAATTTGATTTGATTTAATAATTATATTTATTAGTTCGAAAACTATTACATGTGCATTTAAAAAAATTTGCCGAAATTGTTTCACCGGAACGATTTTCCATGTTTCATGATAAGAAATTTAATAATACAGTCATGTATCGTTGTTTTTTTTAATGATAAAATGAGCAAAATTTATGAATTTTTGAAATATATTTACCTTGTAATCTTACGGGAAAAAATAGAAATAAAACGTTTTTTCAAATAGAATTTAATAATATTATTTTAATTTAAAAAAAAAATTGAATATCTGTTAATAATTTTAATCAAGTTTTGTTTGGCTTTAAAATTCCCCCTGAAAATTATGCAAATCTTTGATGTATTACACACTGAACGCGCAGGTTGCATAACTTGAAAAATGGCCAATCAGTTTTCCAGATTGGAATCGTTAATTTTTACTGCTCGCCAGCTGGAAAGGGGCTAATGACCCGCATGATTACATAAAAGGGCAATAATTTTCCCGATTTTCCACGGCAGACTCGGTTCTTTTGCGAGCAGCAGTGCGGCAATAAAAAATAAAACGCGCGCGCGTTGGTCGATTGAGCTGCGCCACTTTTATTTCCCACACGTCCGTGTGTACATTTGGTCCGTTGGTAAAAAAAGCAGAGGCAAAGTTTTGCGATATGGACTAGAATAAGAATATTTGTGCGAACCATGCCAAACTTCATTCTACTCACGTCACATTGCGCATTTGACTATGACGATTGAGTAAAAAATTATTGTTAAATAAATTAATGATAAAGAATAAAATAACTATTCTATAACAATTAACTATGCTGTCTGTGCCAATTTAATTTAGACCTATTCTTTATTAAAAAAATTTATAATATTCCATAAAAACTCAAAATCAAATGAAAAATTAATTTTATATTATTTATCGAAAACAAGAACTTTCATGAAAAATTTCTTATTCTTTTCACTCTTCTCATTAAATTCCAACCTAAAATTTCACTCCCTTTGTATTTTGCATTAGGTGTGAGTTAAGAGGATAAAATTAGACTTACGAGGCACTCGCAGGTCTGGCATTTGTAGAGCCACTGTTCGCCGGCGCGGAAAATGACGTTGGACAGCTCCTGGTGTTGGCACTGGGTGACCTCGTCGCACACGGGACAGCAGTCGTGGTTGACGTTGGGGTCTGAGCAGTCGCAGGCCGGCCGCTGGCAAACCATCCGACCCGCCTCGCACCTGCACCTTTCGCACTTGCTGGTCACCTGCCCGCCGTCCGCCACTTCCACCCCGTTAAATATGCAACCTGCGTCACGAAAAAATTTGAAAGTGAAATCCATCGTGTTTTTTGTTTCCAAATTTCTAAATCGGTACTTACTCAAGGAGCACTGAGGCCCGTGACCGTCGCAGGAACATTGATAACTGCCTTCTGTGTTGATGCACTGTGCACTTGGATGGCAGGTCGATTTGTCCATCGCACACTCATCCTCATCTGAAACGGATATTTTTATGCAGAAACTCTTCAACACAATCAAGAAATTTATATTTTTAAATATTGATAATTGAGGAAAGAGAATAGAATTTAAATTGAAAAATAAATAATTATAAGAAAATTAAATACAGGGTGGCCCAAAATTCAACGACACATTTTAATTTACTGCCATTTTTGAACGGATGGAGATATTTGAGTTTTCTCAGCGGGAGAATGAAGTTCAGCTGTGGAAGTTTTGTTGGTGCTATGGGCACCCCATTGTTGCAACGCATTGTTACTGAAAAATAGCTACAACCGCAAACGAAAAATTTCTCTTATGGGATATCCATGTTAATTTTTAAACTTTTTAATTTTTTTACTTTTTTAACGAAACAAAATGTTTTCTAGCCTAAAATTTTGCGAGGAACACGATTCTGGTGTCTAAATTTTATTCCGTTAAGTATAAAATAGACTTTCTGACACAAATTTTATGAAAATGAAAGGTTAGGTCAAATTTGACCTCACCAATTGATTCAGCTTGCCGAGTTTACCCTTAGTACCAATTTTCGTTTCTTTACCTATTTTGGTTCTATAAAATCCAGGAAACCGTCAAAATTTACCTGAAGTAAATTTGGATAATTAAACTTCCAACCGCAATAAAAAATAGAAGTCCAGCTTTAAACTTATCAAACTTTGGCCGGATTAACTACGTGCTGTGTGAGAACTTGTAATTTACAAGTTAGAAGTCTGTCACCCAGAAGGAAAAATTTATTTTTTAAAGTTTGTGGTGATTTATAGCAAATTTAAAAAAAATTTAATTGAAAATTAATCTACGTGAAGCGAAAAATTAAAAGTCCTGTTTTAAAAAAACTGCGATTTCGCTGGCAGTTAGAAGGGTTTAAGGGCTATGTTTTCTCCAAATGGCAAGTCTGTCGCCCAAAGAAAACTTTGGCTTATTATGATTTTTGCATTTCAAACAAAATTTCCTAAATCGGATTTGCGTTATAATTTGGCAAAGTCACCGAAAAAATTAGATTCTGTCGCGTGACAGGCGCAAAATTTGGTAATCCAACTCACTGAACTACATAAATTTAAAAAATCTCCGCGCAAGTAGAATGCAACCTGGACTTTTCATTTTATTTTTAATCGCAGATATTATTTGATAAAATTTTGTAATTTTCCACATTTCAATAAAAAATTTTAAGAAGTCCAGGTTTGATACTACTTGCGCGGAGATTTTTAACATTTATGTAGTTCAGTGAGTTGGATTACCAAATTTTGCGCCTGTCACTCGACAGAATCTAATTTTTTCGGTGACTTTGCCAAATTATAACGCAAATCCGATTTAGGAAATTTTGTTTGAAATGCAAAAATCATAATAAGCCAAAGTTTTCTTTGGGCGACAGACTTGCCATTTGGAGAAAACATAGCCCTTAAACCCTTCTAACTGCCAGCGAAATCGCAGTTTTTTTAAAACAGGACTTTTAATTTTTCGCTTCACGTAGATTAATTTTCAATTAAATTTTTTTTAAATTTGCTATAAATCACCACAAACTTTAAAAAATAAATTTTTCCTTCTGGGTGACAGACTTCTAACTTGTAAATTACAAGTTCTCACACAGCACGTAGTTAATCCGGCCAAAGTTTGATAAGTTTAAAGCTGGACTTCTATTTTTTATTGCGGTTGGAAGTTTAATTATCCAAATTTACTTCAGGTAAATTTTGACGGTTTCCTGGATTTTATAGAACCAAAATAGGTAAAGAAACGAAAATTGGTACTAAGGGTAAACTCGGCAAGCTGAATCAATTGGTGAGGTCAAATTTGACCTAACCTTTCATTTTCATAAAATTTGTGTCAGAAAGTCTATTTTATACTTAACGGAATAAAATTTAGACACCAGAATCGTGTTCCTCGCAAAATTTTAGGCTAGAAAACATTTTGTTTCGTTAAAAAAGTAAAAAAATTAAAAAGTTTAAAAATTAACATGGATATCCCATAAGAGAAATTTTTCGTTTGCGGTTGTAGCTATTTTTCAGTAACAATGCGTTGCAACAATGGGGTGCCCATAGCACCAACAAAACTTCCACAGCTGAACTTCATTCTCCCGCTGAGAAAACTCAAATATCTCCATCCGTTCAAAAATGGCAGTAAATTAAAATATGTCGTTGAATTTTGGGCCACCCTGTATAAGAAAATTTAGCAATAAAATTATTTGATGACCAAATAATAGTTGGGATGGGAAAAATAGTTTTCCACCTATTTGTTTGAGATTAACCAAAATTTACTAATGCAGCTCAATTATGTCTATGTTTTATTAGTTCAACTATTTGGGGAAAAATTAAATATCTTTTGTAGTAAGAAACCTCTTTAAATCTTTTGAAAATATTAAAAATTACATTTTTTTTCATTTAATAATTTAATTAAAAATTTCAAAAAAATATTTGTCTGAGCTTTGCTGTTTTTGCTGTTAATTTATGTCCCACAAAACTTACAAAATCTGACAAATCAGCAAGAACGATTACATAATTGATGAATTTTTAAGTTAATTTTGCTCACATTTTTAAAGCCTTAATTATATTTTCAGATTTTTTCCTCTCACCTAAACACACAGGACCAATATTGCTGGAGGCACTACGGTATCCAGGGTTGCAAGTGCAGTAATACCAGCCAGGCTGGTTGACGCAGGTGGCCGCCTCGTGGCATTGTGCGATTCCCAGGGCGCACTCGTCCACGTCCCGTTCGCAGCTCGGCCCTGCGAAGCCGCGCCGGCACGAACACTCGTCCGGCGCCACGCACACGCCGCCGTTCTGGCACGTCTGGTTGCACATGGCTATTCCAAAAATATTCACCAAATATCATCAATAAAAAGTTGAATCAAAATTTATATTTGTTTATAAACATAAATCCAATCTGAACAAAAATAAATGATCAATTATTTAATTGCATCTTTAAATTTACTTTTTTGTGCAAATATTCTTAACGTTAAGCAATTTATTCGTTCACTTATATTTTATAATCTTTATTGAGCTTAAGGAGCTCTAAAAATGTCAAATTTTCCTATTATCTTAGCGAATCCCAGCATAAATTACTATAAATTTCTAATTCATTTATTTAAAATTAATATAAATGAGTCTTTTTTTCATTTATAAATTTATTAATTATCTATTGAATTAAAGTCAATCTCTTTACCATGTGTAAAGAAGTGTGAAAAAGCCATTTTTTTTAATTGTTTCACTTGAAATATTTTGGAAATTTATTTTTCATTATTATTAATAAGGGATAATTTAAATTTATTACATCTGCTAAAAATGAGGATCAAATTTTTGGAACACTTACGGTGGCAGATGAATCCGTCGCCGGCATAGCCTGGGTTGCAGTGGCACGAGTAGCTGCCCTCGGTGTTGGCGCAGGTGGCGTGCGGGTGGCACTTGTGGTCCCCGGAGCTGCACTCGTCGTGCTCGCGGCAGTTGAACGCGTCCACCCGTTTGTAGCCGGGCAGACACTCGCACTTGTACGATCCCTGCACGTTCCTGCAGATCGTGTTGAGGCCGCAGTAGTGGCCTAAACGGCCGCCTTTCTCCCTGCACTCGTCCACGTCTAAAATCCCAAATTAAATAAAAACAATTAATAGGTTTCATTGGCAAAGTTTCATCTTGATCAGATAAACACAAGCAAAAGGCGACTGTCGCGGTAAAATCTAGACCGAGTGCATCGTCAGACGCAAGTTGACACCGTTGATAGTCCACGTGAGCGAAATAAGACCAGCAGACGAGATTTGTTGTATTCTCCAATGGCAAACGCCAGTCAGATGGAGAAACAGATCTTTTGCTCTTAATTATCCACGACGAGCAGACAATGTAAATTAAATTAATAATACTATAGTATAGTCTATACATTTTTTTAAATTATATAATGAATTAAATTAATCAATACGAAATAATCCCCCTAATATAAAATAATTATTTTTAACTAAAAAATAATAAGTAAAAACTGATATTATCTTCAATAATATTATGTTCAAATTCAACTCCATTCAACTTTTTTTTAAAAACAGCGGTTTCTACTATTTATTATAATTTTTAAAGGTATTATAATAATTTTCAAAAGGTTGTATGATAAAATATTGGTCACTCAATTTTAAAATGATAATTTTGATTCAAAAATTTGTATTCCTCCAAAAGTTTTGAATTTTAATTACTTTTAAATTCTGTCGCCTTGTGCAGTTATGACGTTTCTTTTTTTAAATTGACGTACCTTTGCAGACGCGGCCATTGCCGTGGAAACCAACGTTACATTGGCAGGAGTACTCGGTTTGCAGGTTGAGGCAAGTGGCATTTGGATGGCAAACATGTCCTTTGGCGCAGTAATCCGTCCCTGATTAGTAGGCAGCACACAGCACAGAGCGTTAGTTGTTAGATTAATTGGGCTCATTCATGGGCGAAAGCATGAAAGGGGTGATTAGCTAGTGGCCCACCAGGGGCGGCAAAAAATTTAAAGTGAAAACTTTTTGACGGACGTGATCTAATTTGACATAGCGTTCATTCAAAAGGTTAAAAAAGCTGATGACGCAAAGGGACAAAACTGTTTTGCGTGTTGGAATTTTTCATTCATGCGCGTTTATTTTATTTTGGGAAAATGAGCCGCTTATCAAGATTTTGACGGGGAAAAGAGCAATTTTTATACAAATGTGCGTGACGTGTGATAAGATTTTAAAAGAAAAAGAAAACGAATGATTTTGTTCATGTAACAAAAAAACATAAACAATATTTCAGTGAATTTTTAATAACCTGTAATTAGTTACAGGTCTATGAAATAAAAAGTACTTAATTGTGGATAAATTATACTGATAATTTTCATGCGCAGTTACTTTTCATTTGAAATGTCAAATAACAAGCAATTAGTTTTAAATTTAAAGGGTAAAAATGCAGTTTTAAGTGAAAAATAATTATTTTTTTCTATCTTTTTACTTTAAACGTTTTAGTTGTTTGCTAAAATTTCAAACTAAATTTATAATATAGCATAAAAAGTCCGTTTTTTTCTAGTTACTTGAAACTCATGCTGAGTTATTAATATTAAGAATAGCCATGCAATAGAGGCCTTATGTAAATTATTTTTTTAAGAAAAATCATGCTATCGTTAAATTTTGTTTTACAAGAAATAAAAATTAATTAAAAGCTCACCAGGACAGTATTTGCAGCACTTGTCGGGCACACTGAACTGCTGCTCGGGGGGACATCGCAGCTCGGGACACATTGTGCGGGGGTCAATTCGGGTGCACCTGAGCACTCCGTTCTCGCATTGACACTCGACGCACTGTTTTTCGTTGTTGACCTGCTCGCCGTGGTCGTAAAAAACTCCCTTAAAGTAGCACTGCTCTGTGGAGGAAACAAAGGAAAGCGTCAGCTGATGGGCTCAAGAGAAAGAAAGGGAAGGGGTGAAAGTCTTGCTTGCGAAAAGGATGAACACTTACTGAGACAACTTGGACAGCAGTCGCCGGGAGCGACGACTGGGTTTTTACACTTTGTTTCAGGACACTGCACACGACGACACTGCACATCACCTTTCTGCGGAAATTTCAAAATACAGACTTTTTGAAAAGGAAAAAACCACGTTTCAAACTCACCACACATGAACACAAATCGCAGTCTCTCTGCCAAGTAGCACCATCAGAATGTACAGAGCCGTTTACTCTACAGGACTTTTGACAATCACACTCCTCCACCTTATTTATTCTCGCCTCGGTGGCTTCCAACTATTGACAGAAGAGCAAAAGTCGATAATTGTTATAAACATTTAATTTATAAATAATTGCTCTATAAGCTTAAGTATATAAACTAAGCAGATGTGACGGTAGCTTTTGATTTGAATAATATTTCCGTACATTTCCATACATTAAAAATAAAACTTTAATTTTAATATCAGATGTAAGAGATAAAATATAATAATCAAATTTTAAATTTTAACTTCTTGATACTATAATTAGAGTATAAAAAGCTTATTAAAATTAATTGATTATTGTTTGAGTAATATAATTTTAATTAATCAGACGAAAGATTAATTCTGAAACAAACTGTGAAATCACTTAAAATACTAGATTGATTGATTCTCGTTAACAACATTGTAATCGGATTATAGCATTAAAATGCAAATTGAGCTATTCGATTTCTTGTAACGCTGCAAATTGATTCGCGCTGTTGGTGCGATAAATTGTCTGCGCTCAAATGAAAAGCTCCCGCAGACGTTATCGTCTCGAGAGGTTGCGCATTACAGGGGTAATCTGCTGATTATTGGAAAATTTATCGTACCACAACTCCCGACGGTAACATAAATTCCCAGCAGTGCTCTCGCCCAAGTTAAAGTCTTTGGTGTAATAAATTAACGATCGTTCCAAACAAGCAACATCTGCTCTCTAACGAGCGCAGACAATTTTCGCCCTAAATTACGTCTCGCGCCTTCCGAGGACGATCGACAATAGAGACTGAAAGACACATTGTCACATTGTGTGTTGGCTTCCAACTTACAAATAAACGCGTTTACAAGTAAATCATAATAGCATTCCATTATAACAAGTAAAATATAAAGTCATTGAATAGGTACCAGGTTCTCTCTAAAATAGATTTTGAAATGTAGTGAATTTTATACTTAGGTAGTGTTGTTATAGAAATAAGGACTGATAAGGGCAATTTTAATATGCAACCCTCAGCTGATTTTTTCATAGACCTTCTTTTATTGAAAAAAAAATAAGATAATTTTAATTTATTTGGGGGGGGGGGAATGAATGGTTTTAAGAATCATGTCAATCATGTGATTAAAATAATTAGGATACTTCTATAATCACACACAAAAATAATGTAATTTTTATGCCAAATTTTTGAAAAAATTATATCATATATGTTGTAAGACAAAATATATCATGTAAGACAAAATGAACTTACTTTTTGTACAAGTTGGTTGACGCGCGCCGTGAGGTCCTCAACGGTGGCTTGCAGAATTTGGAACTGACCACAGGTTGGACAGACCGAATCCACTCTAGGACACTGACTAAGGTACCCATGGGGACCAGCCACCACGCGTACATCTTGCAGGATGCCCTACAAAGGCAAATTAAAAAACTTCAGTTTTCTTCTCGAAATAACAAAAAAAAAAGGAAAAAAAAAGCGCTTTAATTCATACTTGACAACGGAACTTTTGCACGTTCAAAGGGAGGTGAAAAATTAATAATATAAACCATTGAATATTGAAAACGCTTCAAAATTAATCCAACAGTTTAAAATCTTCCTTTTACTGTTGAAACCAATTTTAACCATTTTGAGTCTACTCAATTATAAAAATGCATGTAAAACAGTTAGAATTAATTGCTTTTTATCTTCATATGCATGGATTTGCATAATAACGATGTGTAATGAATGTCTTAATTAATCAAGTTCAACCAACCAAAATTTAGTAAATCAAGAAAAATATTGAAGGAAAATAGTAACAAAATTTACGAACAGGAAACAGGACAAACCGCAATTATAAATTTATTGATCATTTTGTAGCTTTTAGAGTACTTGCCATAAAAAGTGAGTGCTTGACGTATCGCTGGCCCAGCCATAACGCGAGTTGGTCTCCGAACTCACTATCACTTTGGTGCGAGGACGCGTTGGAAAAGTTTCTGTCGGGCGCCGCGTGTAGCACTCGCTTGAAGTGGTGTTTACAGTCCACTAACAACTCAACTTGGGCCCCGCTGACCCACAAGGCTAGTCTGTGCCACACACCGTCCGCTAAGTGAACTTGGAACGATTCTACAAAAGTCCTGCCCCCGTGGGTGTAGTGTAAACGCACTTCTTTTTTGTAGCCACTCGACTGCAGCTCCAAGTAGCTGCAAAGTTCAAAATCGTCACAATCGAAATGTCAATATTATATTCTGGAAAGTGGATTTTTCCAACAAATTATTAGATTTAAAAAATCGAATGCTTACCTGTTTGAGCCATTTGACAAAGAAAAAATACTGCCAACGTTGCCCACCCTTTGCAGCAAAGACAGTGTCAACGTGAATTCTGGACTATTACTAAGTAAGTCTACCACTTTGGAGAATACTGACTGGGGAAGGCGAAATTTTCTATCAGTTCCTGAAATCAGAAAAACAAGATTTTTTAAATTAAACCGATTTTAAAGTACATAGTTTTTTTATTTTCATCAGAAAAGTGTTATTAGGATTCTGGAAAAGATTATAAAAATTTAATGAAAATTTACAATCCTCTTCTGTACGAGTGAGATTCACCACGAGTGAAAATTTGGTATCAAGATGAATCGACTGAAAATGTTATTGAATTAAATATTAGCTCGATTTAAACTTTATCTTAAAAAAAATGGTGCTACATGTAGCCAGTAAAATTTACATAAATTACTGTTTTATAGATCAAAGTCAAGCATAAAAAAAATGATTTTGTATTTACATAAATTCTTTCACATTATAAATCACGTTTTAGTTCATAAAGTTGTGTTGAGTTTAAAAAAAATTATATATACCAGTTACGAAAACAAAAAATACTTAATACTTCAAATTTAAAAATTAAAAAATGTGGGAAAAGATATGTGTTGTAAGTAAACTGATTTTTGTGCAATAAATAAGGCCCTGTAATAAAATGGGATTTATTGTGTTTCTGTAAGACTTCATTCAATCGACTTACTTCACAAATTCCCGCACCGCCAGCTCATTTTTCATTTGGCCACATAATCGCCCTTGTTATACCAAATTGAGTGCAAAATTTCCACGCCAAAATGAATTTTCCGCTGCACGGTTTGGGCCGAACGAGTTTATTTCCCATTGAGCCGCGGGATCGATTTGGCCGAACAATAAAATGAATAATGTATTTAGAATGCACGATAGTGAGAGAGAGTGGACGGGTCTGGTGCTCTTTTTCTCTCTCGCCGTTAATATTGCGGTGAAGCCCGTGTAGTTTTCAGATCAATAATATACCCCGCGAGCACCATCTATTATGAGCCGCGCTTTGGCCCAGTGAAAAACACAAAAAGCGGCAGAAAAAAGAGAGCCGCTGGAAACAATGTCAACGCGAGCGAACATGCTGAATGTATGCAAAAAAAGTTTTGTTCTTTCTTTCGCGTCGTTTGAATAGCTTAGTGCGCTTATGCAACCGACGCATTATTTACTGCTGGAAAAATAGCTGACAGAGCACGCTTCTCAATTAAATCAACGCCCACTTTGCTGATTTTGGGTTTTGCGTCCATTCTTGCTCACGATTAATTGATCAATTTTACTCTGTTCAAATTTAATAATCCAGTTAATTTTTTTCAAGTTGAATACAAAAAGAAAAGAGAGAAATTTTTGAAAATTATTTTGTTTTTATAATGTTTCAAATCTTGTTAAGTATACAAAACTACTACAATTTGAGTGGTCAAAATCCAAACAAGAGCAGCGATATTTTGTAAAAGCAAAAATTTTTATTCTTAACCTACATTGACAAGCGATAAAGATGCTCTTTACTGTGTAAAGGCCTAAATAAATATAGAGTAATAGATATGCTGGCCAATTAAATTGGTTATATTAATCCTTATACTTCATTTTTGAAATAAATTTATAGTCAATTTTAATTTTATTTCTTATAATTAATATGTTAAATTATTAATAGTTTCAAAGTTGCGTAGCCAAAATTTCAAAGTTTTAAAAATATATTTTATAGATAAAAAAAATCTTTAAAAAATTACTCCAAAACCAGATATTATTCAGATTCAGTAAATCATACATTTGAAAATAATATTGAAGTTCTCCGAGATAAATTCTATTTGACGCGGTGATTATTTATATTTTCGTCTCCAGCTGCGTGCGACGCCCAATAAAAAAGCCATTATCCGCCGCGTTTTCTGCCCATTCAGCCAGACGGAGATTTTATACTCTGCGTCTTCCTTTCGTGAAATAATATGAATAAAAAAAATCAAGAAGACGAGGCGGGGATGAATTTGGCACCGATTCAACAACGGCGGCGCTCTGCTTTATATCATCTGCTGAGTATTATATACGTATATGAAGAGCGGCAGAATTAAATGGAGCATTCTAGAGGATTATCCCCAAGTGGCTGCCTCTCTTCTTCGCCCGCACACCCTTAATTTGCATCTGATTTGGCGAGCCGCGTAAAATCTGTCTGTTCTTCGCGTGCACGTACGATGCTTTCTCTTTCAACAGAAATTGCTCACATTCAGAACTTTTCCTACCATCAGCGAAATTGGACTTTCGGATTATCGATTCTTTTGAAGGACGGAATAATTTTCTGATTCATTTTGTGGCCAAACAAAGATTTCAAAACAAATTTCACAAGGATCATTTGGGTGAGAATGAAATTCAAATATACCAGGGGTCTAATTCTGTAAGATAGAATCGTTCCATTTCCATTTCTATTTCATTTTCCATTTGCTTACCCATTCTATTTCGTCGCCTTTTTTGATAACGACTTCTATTTCGCTGCCATTCCATTTCTATTTCGTTGTCAATTTTTTTAGTTATGCCATTTATTTATTTATTTATTATTTAATTTAATTATTGCCTATGCTTACTGCTTACAGTGATTTTCAATATATTCAAGTCCATAAAATTTATAAAATTATATGAATTATTTAATTTTTTATGTATTGACTTGATGTAAGATGTTGTGTATTTCATGTATCTGAATGGAGAATAAATAAATAAATAAATTTTGAAAGAAAATGTATAACATAACATTTAGAGTTTGCGTTATTCTTAAAAAATAAAGACGCGCCCCCTTAAGCGCGAATCTTTTTACGGCTCATAATTAGAGGGGATCAAGGGGATTTTTTTTTCTTTAATGAAATCAATTGAAATCAATTTCTTAAAAATAGGTAGAATTTAAATGCGATTTTAATGTTTTATTTAGCAAATGAGCAACAATGTATTTTATATTATTTAATTAATCGCGTGCGCTGTTTGGCAGATCGATTGGACTGTTTATAATATAATGTTATACCTAATTGCTCAAAATATTTTCCACTGATTGTGAGTTTTTCAATTCATGCAGAACAACTAATCTCACTTTTTTTTTTAATAAAATCTTAATTATAATTACATATAGATTTATTGGTCTACTATCAAAAGCGTACCCCTTTCATAGAAAGATTTTTTCTGCATCGTTTATTTGGTGCGCTTAAGTAATTGTACACCCGCGCTCTGCGCCCATCTCACATACTTACATTCTTTATAATTTTTTATTGCAAAATTTTGTTTTGCGTAATAAAATTTTTTTCAAAAGTAGCTATTTTTAACATAAAAGTTTTAAAATATGAATGCAATAAACATGATTATTATTATTATTTTTATTATTATTTATGCTTCTCGGCCTGTACAAAAATTTTTAAATTGGAGAAATAAAGAGAAGACAGGGTTTACAACTAGCCAGGGTTTCGTCGCCTTTTTCGATTATGACTTCTATTTCGCAGCCTATCCATTTCCATTTCTATTTCGTCGTCAATTTTAATAGTTGAGCCATTTATTTATTTATATTTAATTTAATTATTCCCTATGCTTACAGTGCTCTTCGAATGGTTTTTAATATTCAGGTTGATAAAATTATATGAATTATTTAATTTTCAATGAAAATGTATATTTATAATTCTTATATGTCTCTCGCACCCCCTTTTAATCGAATCTTTTTATGGCTCATAATTAGAGGGGATCAAGATAATTTTTCCTTTCACGAAGTTAATTAAATCAATTTCTTAAAAATTGGTTGAATTCAAATACAATTATAATATTTTTTTTTAGCAAATTAGCAACCATGTATTTTATATTATTTAATTCATCGCGTGCGCTGTTTGGTACCACAATTTGCGCCCACACTGTGGTACCACAATTTGCCCCCACAATGTGGTACCACAATTTGCGCCCACACTGTGGTACCACAATTTGCTCCCACAATGTGGTACCACAATTTGCGCCCACACTGTGGTACCACAATTTTCGCCCACACTGTGGTACCACAATTTGCTCCCACAATGTGGTACCACAATTTTCCCCCACACTGTGGTACCACAATTTGCTCCCACACTGTGGTACCACAATTTGCTCCCACACTGTGGTACCACAATTTGCGCCCACACTGTGGTACCACAATTTCCGCCCACACTGGTACCACAATTTTCGCCCACACTGTGGTACCACAATTTGCTCCCACAATGTGGTACCACAATTTGCGCCCACACTGTGGTACCACAATTTGCTCCCACACTGTGGTACCACAATTTGCTCCCACACTGTGGTACCACAATTTGCGCCCACACTGTGGTACCACAATTTGCGCCCACCCTGTGGTACCACAATTTGCGCCCACACTGTGGTACCACAATTTGCTCCCACACTGTGGTACCACAATTTGCTCCCACACTGTGGTACCACAATTTGCGCCCGCACTGTGGTACCACAATTTGCGCTCACACTGTGGTACCACAATTTCCGCCCACACTGTGGTACCACAATTTGCGCCCACACTGTGGTACCACAATTTGCGCCCACACTGTGGTACCACAATTTGCTCCCACACTGTGGTACTTTTGACTCAACGCCTTATTGAAATAATTTTTTATACATTTTATTGACTTGAGTATATTAAAAATCATTTGAAAATTACTGTAAGCGCATAATATATGCAATAATTAAATTAAATATAAATAAATATATATAAATATAAATATGGCTCAATTATTAAAATTGACAACGAAATAGAAATGGAAATGGAATGGCAGCGAAATAGAAGTCGTTATCGAAAAAGGCGACGAAATGGAATGGGTAAGCAAATGGAAAATGAAATAGAAATGGAAATGGGACGATTCTATCTTACAGAATTAGACCCCAGATGATTTTTGTACGTTGAATGAAATAATTGAATAAGGCATCAAAAAGTATTTTTCAAAATTTGAATCAGTTTGAATAAAATCGATAAATGAAATTCTTTCACAAGTTTTAAAATGACTTCATTTCCTTAATTTTCAAGGAAATTAAATATTTTGTATGAATTACATTTCAAGCCCTGATTGTGTGCTATAGATATGATGGTCCAATAAAAATTCCATCCGTGCCTCAATCTCTGTCATAATCTCTTGTTGTTATGGCAAACAAATAACAGGGAAGGAAAATGCGGCGGCACTCGTCAAAGAGTTCTCGTCGCTCCTCGGTTCACATTCCCGTACGCGAGCTATCGCAGTGCAGCGAAAAGAAGCGTCTCATCATTCTCGGAATCGGAGGCCGGGTGAAATATAAAATAATTAAATAAACGCTACACCCTGTGCACGAATTAAACGAAGCGTTTTACACGTGGTACTGACGTGGTATTAAGTTATGTTGACATATTTATTTTTCTTCTTTTTTAATAGCCAGCTGCGAAAGACATGCTGTAATTGAGCAGGAGAGGTTGCTATTGTCTCATAATAAAATTCTGCCAATCCGAGTGTATGTTATTGAAAATCTCGTTTTTACCCTGAAGTTTCATCATAAATTAATTACAAAAACTTCCAAGTTAAATTATGATTACAGCTAAATTGATTAAATTGATACTTTGCTATTTCATGTTAACCCAAATCATTCAACCATCAATTACAAATTTCCTTACTAATAAATATTTTAAAGCATCGATATATACTAAAGAAATAATCCCTAAAATATAATTTTGATCATTGTTAACATTTTTAATTATATTTCCTCTAGCTAATTTTACTACCATCGTCATTATTAATATGATTTTCTTGCAGTTCTTACTAACCTTACCAGCTAATTAACTTAATAATACAACATCATTACCAAAATAAAAAACAATTGTGTTTTGTTATTACAACAATGCAAACTCTGATTATTTGAAGTTTTATCATTACTAATCAGACCTAAAAATGATAAAAAAAAATACACAAATTATATTAAAATCTGCTTCAAATGATCAAAATACAGTACCTAAAAAATGTCGCCAATTAAGCTAAGATAATGTATAGATTTTTGCTGACATTTTATGATCGCAGCTTTTCCAGAGGAAACTTGACATGCAGATTGTTTAAAGTGGAAATAAAGCTTTTGAATACTGCAGGTTTTGAAATTAGTTGGTTGCCGTGTGAGTCGGCGTTCTCCGTCAATGAAAGCACTCAGTGTCATAAATTACATGCCGCGTGCGTGTCCCCGAGGGCTGTTATGCTCGCGAGTGTGTTTGTTGAGCGAAAAGGAGTCGCATCTTTTTGTGGCGACGACGACGAATAAGTCTCCGCCAGAGGCTACTCGCGCTGGCTCATCTTTGCGTAACTACAGCGCGCATTCATTTGCTCTCTGCTTGCTCACGAATAAACAAATCTCGCTGACTTTGCGGAATATCAAATAAATGAGGTGCGTGCTCAGACAAATGGAAGGAAATTCTGGATTTCGTGTTCAATTCTACTCTCTAAAGTAGAGCTCCCACAATTTCACAATCTAATACTCAAATCAGTGCAACTGACCAAAAAAAATTATTTAATTAAAAAAAAAATATATAATTTTAAACTGAAAAAAGCAACCAAAATATATTTATGTCTCTAATTTATTTATTTTTACACTATTTTAAGACAGTTTTAATTTTCAAGATTTAATTTCACCCATGACATTTTTCAACCTGTGCAAGTGAATTGATCTCAGAATTTTCAACAGAGCAGATCCCTTTTTTTCTAGTGCTAAAGTACTAGTGAGGAATTTCAGAAACGTCATGAAGATTAGGCATCAAATAATACACTTTTTTTAATTTTTATAGACACTTTAGCTCTTTTAAATGCGAAAATTCTGCTTTCTTGTATTTCAAAAGTTGAGTTTTAACAATTTCAACGTCTAATGAAGGTTTAATTCCATCAGTACAGATTCTGATGATCCATATAAATAATATTAAGAAGACTCGAGAGTTCCTTTCTACTCTTTAAACTCCATTAGCGAACGGAGCGAAGAATTATTGTTTCACTCTGGCGCAATGGCTCAATTTTTTCAGCTGGGGCAGCGTTTCTGCCCGAATTACAGTTTCGCATGTTATTCCTCAGCAATATCTTTTATGAACGCGGCCCGTGTGCGAAATTCACTTAGTTTGCTGGTGCTGCAAAAAGCAGCTCTCGTTGAAAAATGCGAAGGGGAAAGCGTGGCCGTTGGCTTGGCGCGCGGGCGGGCGGGCAAATTTGTGCTGAGCAAAGTGCGGCAGGCCTATTTTACGAGGAGGCGCCATAAAAATGCAAATGCCGCCTCTCCCGATTTTATACGGAAACCATAATGCGCAGGAAATTCGCAGAGGGTTAAGGTACATTTTCCTTCTCCCTTCCGGGTATCAAAAAATTGGGCAAACGACGTTCAAAAAGGGGAAAATAAAATAATGGCGTCCATTCACGAAAATATATTTTGAAATTTATTTGCATGCTTTTATAAATTTGGCTCTTTTAAGCACAAAATTTTCAGATAGATATTTAATTTTTTTTATTGTTTAATTTTTATACAAAGAATAATTTCAGAATATTCAGTAAATTTTCCAATTTAAAACATATCTGAAACTTCCTAATGGATTTGTTAATTTTTTTTTCTTTGAAATACAACTTATCCAATTATGAATTTATTTTCAATTTCACAGTGACTAATTTCCCTCTCAAGGCAGAGTATTGACTTTTTATTAACATTGTGTGTGAATTATGTCACATGTGTCGCGTTCTGCACCGGCAAGTGCATGCACCTGCCGTTACAAAGCGATCGGAAAAACCAACCCTCGATTAGCCTGTGCAATAAAGTGCCACTTTCCACCCTGCTTATTCACTGTGCACCCCTTGCGTAAAAAGCGCCGTTCGTTATCGACGAGCCATTGAAAACGATTCAGATTTTTGATCGAGCCGCAACTCCCTGGCCATTACAATCCAGTTTTGTGTTTTGTACGGGCAGGTGCGCACACCCCCGTTTCGGTGGGGTGGTAGTGCCATGCTGCATGCATAACCGAAAGGCGCCGCGACTCTCTTTGTTGTCTAATAAATTTGTCGTCGTCTTGCGTTATAAAATCGATGTTGCTCTGAATGTGAATGACAAAAAAATAATATAGTAAAAAAGGGAAACATCGAAAGTGACTTTCCATAATTTTATTTGTGGGAAAGCGAATCGCATGTCTTATATTTCAGAATTCAGAACTATTTCGATTGGACTTAACATTTTTATCTGTTCGTTTTTTCTAATTATAATTGAGTAAGCGACATAACGCCCCCTTTCATGAATGAAAAGCGAACAGAGATGCTTATCAGCCGCAGCCACATTCAATTTGGTCGCGGCAAATGTCAATCCTGACGCAGAAGGGCAATTAAGCAGAGATTCCGAGATAGTAATTAAGCAATCGCGTCACCCGCGATTATTTTCCTAGTAACAGGAATTTAGAATTTATATATTTGGAGAATAAACTAATTATTTTCTTTTCTTTATGACGTCAAGTAAAAATTTAATTTGACTCTCGTATGTCCCAGACGGCCTTCGGAAAGGTGCCTTTGACGGAAAATGTGCAGCGAATCATTAATTATACACCCGCCGACACAAAAGGTTATTTGGTGAATTAGGCGAGGTAAAAACTAGCTGCACGCAACCCTGTTGGAAAAAAAATAATAAAATGCACCCAAAGAGACCAAACAAAAAGTTGATATTTAAGTCTGACAGATTACAGCCGCTTGCATAACTTAAAAATGTGGTTTTAAAGTATTTCACGGATTTATTCAGAGTTAAAAAATATTTTGGATAAAACTTACCCTCAAAATTAATTGCAGTTCCAGTACTATGAGGTCCTAGGGCTAAATTTACACCGGGAATAGCTTCACTTAAATTGTGCGTTGATAAGCCCTCAAAAAGGTCGATGTGTGGTCTTGGAAACGCTGGAGCTGAAATCAGAAAGATTATTACTTAATTTTTGCACATTGATTAAATATTTCCTTAATAATACTACACTGTTACAAAAATTGTGTTTTCGCCCATAACGTAGTTGTGTAAAGGCAGCCACTTACACAACTGGGTTGTGCATATGCGCCGGGAAGCCACTTACACGACTATGTTGTGTATCTTCACACAACTACTTTGTGTTTTTTCAAATTTCCATCAAAAAAGTCGCCATATTTAATAAATAACTGAAGATCGCCAGAACCATGCTACAAATTGGAAGTGTTAGTTGTAAGGCTTTTAGTTCTTGATCATACAAAATCCAAAAATATTGATGAAATCTCTTGACATTTTCCAACTTGCATTAAACATTTTCATCGCTCATATCGAAGTAAGTAATAATTTTTATTAATAGCTCTCAAATTTTCAACGGATTCATGTGAAAATATGAACTAAATATTTATCTTTTATACAGCATTAACAACCCTATCGAGCTAGGCGCGTCGCTCGAGCTAGGCGCGTCGCTCGAGCTAGGCGCGTCGCTCGAGCTAGGCGCGTCGCTCGAGCTAGGCGCGTCGCTCGAGCTAGGCGCGTCGCTCGAGCTAGGCGCGTCGCTCGAGCTAGGCGCGTCGCTCGAGCTAGGCGCGTCGCTCGAGCTAGGCGCGTCGCTCGAGTTAAGCGCGTCGCTCGAGCGTCGTACGAATCAAATTTTAAATAGCTAAAAAAATATTTATCATAAATCTCCAAGAGTGGAAGTTCCAAAAGTGGAAATTGAGTAGCTTTCTCGGGAGTTTCTACACTTACTTAGGGAGTTTCCACTTACACGCTCAATACAATTGCGAGTTTTAATTTCAATACTAAAACTCGTAATTTCCACCTGCGTTTAAATTTGTGTTGAACCCCATTCACTCATTGGCTTCAGGGACTGTCAAATCATGTGTCGATGCTGCCCATTTCCTCCCCATACTACCCTGGCCCCCTTTTGCCTCCATGTTATTTGCAAATTTCCACTTAGGGAACTTCATGCCACTCGAAATCGATCTTAACACATGACTTGAGAATAAACAAAATAAATTGACATTGGAATTTAAAGTTCACAAAAACCTTTGGCAAGGGTTTGCCGTGATATAGCGATTTGAAGTTGGAAGTCAAACTCGCATGCATGAATACATAAGAACTCGTTCGTGCAGTGTTTATATTTTTTTAACCTCGTTTGTAGGAGACAAGTTACCGCAGACACACCTTACAAACAAGGAGGACAGAAGCTACAAACAAGGAGGACAGAAGCTACAAACCCCTCCTTTTTTTGTAAAATTCATTTAGACACAAGTTACAAGCGTGAAACTTTGAATAAGCAAAGCAAAATTGATCAGTTTTATGATAAATTTTGAATTTAATTAAGTTTAAAAGCAATTTTAATAACTTCTTGCTGATTTTATTTAAAAATTCACTTTTCAATAATTATTTGAGTTGTCTACTTCATTCATTTTCAATCCTAATAATCTCATAATTTTATAATTGTCTTTAATATTTTCATTTGAAACAATAATCTGTTTTGAATTAACATCCATATAATTAACTGTAATTATATATTAAATTTTCCTTATGAAGCCGCTAGAGAGTAAATTTTACGCAGTATTATTATTATTATTTAAAAATTTAGAGCTCGCTGCAGTGGATGCTGGAGTCTTTTTGATCTCGGAAATTTGAGCAAAATCCTTGCTAGTGATGGTGCCGTTTTGTCCAGCAATTGTTTTTTTTTTCAGATAAATTGTTTTTAACAATTGAATGTAAACAATGTGATGCTGTAACAATTAAACATTAAAATTAATAAAATCTCCTGCTAACGATAAGAAGCGCAAAAATTGAACAAGAGACAAAGAAATTAAACTAACTGGTGGCAAAATTGGTAATTTTTAATTTTAGATAAGTGAAAAGTGTAATTTCTGTCTTAGGTCCTAGCTGATCAATTGTTGGCATTAACACGGTAATTTCTGTGATTCTTTTTAAATTAATGCGTTGAGCTTCATGTTGGCAAAGTTTTAGTTTGATTTAGAAAATAAATCATTTTTTTAAAATATATAATACAACCATGGAGTGGAGATTAAATCATAAACTTTGCCCAATTTTATGAAATATTCCATATCAGCCTGTTTTTTATTTTGTTAAATCAACTAATAAAGACTGTAAACTAAACAAACCGTCATTTGTAGCTAAAGAACTTGATAATATAAATTTTCTCTTTTAAAAATAATTAAAAATTTTGTTGTTGTTCTCAAAACCAGTTTTTTTGTGTACGGATTCGTAAGTGAATTTGCTGAGTAAACGTTCTCTCCTCAGCTTTTCTTTCGCTAATCGGAAAGTAAACGATGGGCGATGTAAAATGAGATCGCGTCTGTCTGCGGCGCGCGCGGGTGGCGGCGACGCGGCGCTCGCTTGTCTCTCTTTCTTACACACTTTATTATCCACTGACTGACTGACTGAGCGAACTAATACTTGACTTGCAGCATTGCGCTCCCCCAGCCTGAAAAGCCGCGGCTCGCCCCGTAATCCCGTCGGATTTAGGTGTGCGGTGTGGTGGCAGTAAAGCTCCGCAAAATGATGCCGAGAGTATAAATCTAGAGCGCGCGTATATTATGCACATAAAATAGCCTACCTATATCAGTGCACGTCGGCCGGGGCATGAACGGGAGTGCAAAAGCATTTGCAGCCTGCATTGCGTCGGAATTATATTACGCGCAGATTATTCATTTGCATTCATCTCGCGACCAAATCAATTCTCCCATACTGCTCTAATGAATATTTATAAGGTCCATTAGATCTGCACTCTGGATTTGCATAAGTGGCAGAGTGTTTGCAGTCAGTTTCCATTTGCTTTAAAGCGTAAGCTGAATTTTGATTTTGATTCATTATAACCTAAATTTTCATTTGAAAATTTGATTAAATGCTTCAACAAAATTTACTTTAATTTTGTGCATAACATGCGATATAATGTGGCTCACTGGGCCGGATGGGGTCATTTTGATCTTGCGAGTTTAAGCAAAATTCTTTTGCTCTGTGGTGGTGCCGCTTTATAAATGCCTTTTCTTTTCGAATAAATTGTTTTTAACGATGGAATTTACACAATGTGATGTAATAATTAGGACAAATAAACAACAACAATAAAAAAATTAACTAAATATGGCAAATTTTTGCAGAAATATTAACAATTTATTATTTGCAAAAATTAAAAGTGAAGTTTTAAACGTAATAAAACATTGAACTTGAGTGATTTGAGGAAGTGAAATTTATAAAATAATGTAAAAAAAAAACCAATAACAAATGGAACAAACATTTAAATTTATTTTATTTGACTCAAAATCAGCCACAATTCACAAAATTAAAATGTATTTATCACTTTTCTTGTACAAAAATTAAATTTGCTAGTCTTATCAACCATTAAATGCTAACGGTTGATTCTTATATCAATATTTTTTGACAGACGCCGCGTACTTCCGTACGTTTTTCTGTTTCTCTTCCATGTTTCTTTCATTCTGTCTTTCCCCCCGATTCACTTTTGATTCAGTCCCGCCGCGATGATAACCAAGAGCGAGAAAATTGGAAGACTCGATATAGTGTTTGCTTTTCCCTCTGTTCGACCCAGCTGCACCCACGCAACGATATCGCCCGCAAATAACAGAGAATGCAGTGTGCCGTGGCTCCCCTCGACACCTGCCCTTATCTGTCGCCGGTCTGTTCATAAAAACGCAGGGCGAAGCAAATAAAATATGGAACATGCGATAGATAACCTTGCCCCTTATTATTGGCGCATTCTACAAGAGCAACACACACTCCTATTAGGATGACACATGGACTCCAACTTGAGCTTTCATTCATGCTCAGCCTAACCCTCCTCACCTTGAAGTAAAATTCAGGTTTTGAAGAAAAAAGTCACCTTTTTGTTGCCAAAATAAAAGTGTGGATATTTATCAGTTTTCACTGAAGTTTATAATATTAATTAGTTAAATCATAATTTATGTAGGTAAGTGATAAAATTATTTTAATAAGTACATATCTCATCAATTCTCACACTATTTTTTTTTTTTTTAAACTACGTTAATCCAGTTGAAGCAATGCTCGCGTGGGATTATCTCAGTAGAATTATTGTCATCTGCTAAAAATAATAATTAATAAAATTAGAAAAATTGAGCATTATAAAGGTTTTTTAGTGTTATTTTTATGCATCTATTATAAATAAAATATTAAATCAATTCAATAAGAACTTCAAGATAAATTTATCTGTAAAGCTTTGTGATATCCATTACGAGTTCACAGGGGTAATTCGCCGGCATCGCATCCGTAATTCTGCCACTCTGGCAAGTGCGACCCCCATTTGAATAAATGAATAATTCAGCTGCACTTTATTCCAGCGGCCTCGGATGAAAGTCAACCGAGTTTAACGACTTGGTCAGGCAAATGCACACAACCTTTGCAATTAAAATGACTCGTCCGTCAAATAATAATATATTTGGCTTGTTGATTTACGAGAGTCTGTGCACCCAGATAAGGGCAGTAAATTATTCAGCACCACGGCGGTAATAGACAAAAGTGAATGGGTTGTTTGTTATTAATTAACGGCGGGACGGCGGCGGCGAGGCATGATCCGAAACCACAAGAGCCACGAGAAGGACAATAGAAATTGTATATTGATCGCCGGCGAGCGCGTTTGTTGCCGCTTGTTTAAAGAGAGAGAGAGAGAGACATACACACAGAGCGGGGGTGGTCGCGGTTGTTGTGTTGAGTAACCCTGGGTTACCGCTGAAAGAAAAAGGCACAGTCGATTGACACCGGATGGGTTTTCCTAATTATAAACAACTCATCTCAGGGATCATTTTGATTCACCTAAAATTATACTATTTAAACTTTAATTCAAAATCGTTTCTACGTTTCATTTTTGTTCATAGGAATTTTTTTGGCTTTGACTGATCTATAAAAGTATTCTAAAATTTAAAACAAACTTTATTTT